TTGGAACTTCTTTTTCAACTTTAGAAGTTGAATACTCAGCTTCGTTGGAACCTGTTCGCCTTTTTCTCTTTTTTTTTTTTATACATTTGTAGATTACATTCTTGAATTTGTAAAGGTGAAAGAGGTGATAAAGTATAACACTTTCTATCTATTACAAATGAATACTTATTCGTAAATCCGTCATGCTAGGCTTTGCGGTCATACTCCCATGGTCGTCCCAACAATAAATGACTTGCTTCCATTAGCACCACATCACACATCACTTCATCTTCATATTTTCCAAATGTAAATGGAAAACTCACTTGTCTAGTGACTTTAGGATCACAACAATTATGTAACAATTGCAATCGATATGGTGTAGGATGCTTAATCGTAGGAAACTTCAAGTTTTCAACAAGATAGTAACTAGCAACATTAGTACACGATCCAAGATCAATGATAATCAAGCATACCTTGTCCTTTACGTAACACTTCATAAGAAATATATTGTTCCTTTGTTGTAACTCCTCAGCAACTTGAGTTGACATTGCTCAAAGATTAACGAACACATGTCCATCTTTGGCCCTAATCTCTTCCTCACCATCTTCTTCTTCATCAAACATGGGTTGGTGCATTCTCTCCTCCTCTTCCTCCTCATTCTCATGATATTCGACTTCATCATCTTTAATCATCATTGCCTTTGCTCCAGGGAAATCTTGAGAATAATGTCCTCTTGCTCCACATTTGAAGCAAATAGTAGGGGACTTATTCGTACTAATTGAAGCCTTGCTATCTCCAGAAGGTTTAGAAATAGAGTTAGTTCTAGAAGATGTTTTATGAATACTGGATTTACCTCTTTTCTTGGTCTTTGTAGGTGTGGACAACTTCTTCACGTCTTCCTTCTTCCACACGGTTGAATATTTTGAGGTACTCTTCTTTGACAATTGTCTCTCCACTATCCTTGCCTTATGTAACATCTCAGTGATATCAAGATAGTGTGACAACTCAACTCATCAATGTTTCGATTGAGACCTCCAAGAAACCTAGTTATAGTAGCTTCAGGATCTTCTCTAACGTTTGCACGTGTTAACGCGGTCTCTAACGCTTGATAATAATCATCTACGATCTTGTTCCCTTGTGTAAGTACTTGAATCTATTTACACAATTCATGATAATAATAAGAAGGTACAAACCTTTTTCGAGTGAGTCTTTTTATCTTATCCCATGTAGTAACGGAGTCTTCATCATATAGCTTTCTATCTTTCACAACCTTATCCCACCATTCGGAGGCATAGTTGTAAAACTCACATGCAATAGCATGGATCTTCTTTGAATCATCATAGTTTTGCAATGAAAATGCTCGTTCGATCCTTTTCTCCAATGCAAGATATGCCTCATGGTCATTAGTACCTTCAAACTCCGGTACCTTGATCTTCATGTTTTCAAAATCATATGGATTATTTGGATTTTCACCTCTCACTCGCTGAAAGGTATTCTTGTCATGCCCCTCTTCATGGTTGCCGGTTTCGTCTTTCAAGCGTCCGCATTTAAGTTTCAACTCCTTCATTTGAACAGACATCTCTTTAATCTTCTCCATTAGGCTTACTACGGCCTCTCGTATAACTTTTTCCGCGGGTGACTCTTCTAACTCTTCATCTTCTCGTTTGGACGTTTGAGCCATCTTGCACAATTTATTAGAACAAGAATTCCTACCTCGCTTCCCCTAACCAAATATTCCCCCCAAAGAAGTCACTCACCAATTATTTTTACTCTCTCAATATATGGGCTTTGTGACTTTTTCCCAAAGCAATTTAGTAAGCACTCAAGCCTTTTTCCTCTCAATCTTTTGTAGTTCAAGTTCCAACTCAAGCACAATCGTTCAAGGTCACACACAATGAGCAAAAGACAGCCAACTTAATTTGCAAACTCACTTAAAGAGCAATTCTATAGCACGGAGAATAATTTAGCACGTAAGATAGACAAATAAAAGAGAGTTAAGGTTCTTATATATAGAATTTCAGAGATAAAAATCGGGGTCATTACTACGCAAAGAATACTTATCTTAATCCTTAAGTAATATACAGATGACTTAATCCTTAAGACTCCAAAATTAAGAGTAGGGAGACAAATTTGGAAATTAACTTTTAATGTGTGAAAAGAATAAATCTAATCAAGATAACTTTCCTACCACCAAATAAATATATTTTATTTCCTTCTACTTTTTTCTCAAAATTGAGATACTTTCATTTTCCGTCTTTCCTTTTTCTTTTCTTTCTTTTCTGAACTTTCCTTCTCTTTTTTTCTTTTATGTTTTTTTTTTCTACCTTGCGGCGTGCGCTAGGGTTAGGGTTTTATTCCCGCGCCCTCTTCTTTCTTTGGACAGCAGCCGCGATACCAACAAAAATAACAACAACAACTCCACACCAATCAATTCAAACCACCAAGATCAACACCAATCAACCCAACAACGTTGAACCAAAGGGTATATATGATTATGAATAACTTGAATCTTGTAAGATAAGTATGAAGAACACGAAAACGAATTGTTCAAGTGGTGAACAACTCAAAATTTTTTGACTAAGATCTCTTCTTTTGGGAGAAGAAAATCCGAAAAATCAAAACAAGAAGAAAGACACACAATTTGAGTTTAGAACCACGATGGTATACACCAAAGATGGCTCTAATTACCAAAAATATGATAGCAACTCAAGAACAAAATCAATGCTTAAACAAGTATCAACTTTGAATATTGAATTGGACAAAATATGAAGCAGAATAATGACAAACTCGAATACTTACTTGAATACCAGAGACACAGAAACCGATGATATTTGATCTAACGTGAACCAATTCACGAGTTCAAAAGAACCGACAAGCCAACTCAATTCGATGAGTGGAACTATTGAATTCCAGCAAGGTCCCTTTTATGAATCTAACAAAAAGAGCTAATAGATATTGATCTATAACCCTAAAAGTATCAATACCAAAAGACTAAGTTGCTATAGACGCCAATTTCTAGCGAACTACACAAGAAAGATAAGTCTTAACGATCATCATTAATCAAAGCAACAACCAAATAATTTGCTCTACACAAGAACAAAAACTCAGAAAGGTTAAAACCTCACAAAATCAATTCAACTCAGTACATAGAACTCGAAGTGCAACCCCTCCCTTTTATAGGGGTGGTTGGCTGAATTTCCAAGAGAAAAAATAAGATTCTTTCCCTAATTCTACGAATTCAAAGTCAAATTGGACTCTTTGACTCCTAGTTTTCTTTATGACCAAGAAAACGAACCTAGACTCTTCCATAGACCTAATAAATTAGATCTAAATGTGAAAAGAAATTAAAACTCCTATTACTAAGGAGATATTCTTGAAAAAGAAGCTTCCTTCCTTGAGTACAAACTTTGTGGCGAAGTAACCTCCTTCCTTGAGCTCTACTCAACCAATATCTGCCTTGTAAGAGTATTTATTTGCCAAAAATAAATAATTAAATAAAGGTGGCGGAGATTCCTCCCTATAATGTAGGAATGGAAAGAATCTTGGCTCCCTTAACCCTTAAACTAGTGTTAGGGCGTGATCGGGCTCCTTGTGCGCAGCCATGGGCTCTTGCCTCATCAACGGGCCTTGAGTTACACCTCCATCTAGGTCCATGAGTCCATTTGATAACACTTGTAACACATTAACAATCTTGGGCTTGTATCCATTACATTTAACTATCTCTTTAGCCCTTGTAGACATAAACAGATTGTTAAGAGTAGTCTTCACAGTTTTGGATCTTGAACGGGTGATTGTGCCAACTATGTTAGATAATGGATCCCTAATATAAGCATTCTTCATAATTAGTTCATCACTAATATTCGCAACTTTCACAAGTTCTTCTTCTCTAGCTTGATCATCCTCTTGTTCTCTTATAGCTCGATGGTCTCCATCATGGACAAAGTACCAATTGTATATAATAATTACACCGTGATCGGTATAGTTTAGTGGTAAAAGTGTGATTCATTTTATTAATCCTTTAAGATTTCAAGGTCTTTGTTTTCGGTTTGATTCATATTCCAAGCAAAAACTTTATTTTCTATATAAAAAAAAAGATTAAAACCTTTATTTCCCACTACAACATTAGTGAGAAATTCTAGATTCTCATGATATATATCCGATGCTCAATTAGCCATTTATAAACTCAAGTGGATGAAGGAAGTGCAGAGCATATGAGAAGATCGAAAATGCAGAAAAGGATTTTCTATTCCGTGATATTGTCTTATATATTTCAGTTATAGACTGAAACGAACTTAAGAAATTTTGAATTTAAATGTAGACTGGTGGAAGCTCTATTCTTGATAATTCAGGATGAGGTTGAGATGAGAGTTCGAAGCCACATAAATACTCTTTAGTCTACAATGAAAAGTCAGATTGTGAATAGATTTTTTTTCCCACTCATAGTGCTAGTTGTAAAATATAGTTCTTGTAAAAATTGAAAGTTTGGTAAGAAACATATATTTGCAGTTCTACAAAGAAAAAAGTCTTGTCATAATATCCAAAAAAAAAAAGTTTCAAAATTTAATAATAGTAGTCAATAAAATATGAAGATCATAGCTAATACGTCACCCTTTTGTTGTGGTCTTATAAATACTCTACTAATGCACCATCAAAACTCACGTAGATCTATCCATCACACTAACTTCAATTCAATCTCAATCAAATTAAATTCGAACTCTACCTTTTATGTCAGTTCAAATCTATTTTCTTTTTAGTAGCTTTTATGGAACGGATTCAAATTAGAATTTTCACATATTTTGCAGGTTTGATCTTTGATCACAGATCTCTTTGACGAAAAGTTTATATATTGATTGATTTGATAGTACGATTGAAAGCAAACTTCTACATTTCCTGCTTCATTATTTGAATTTGGTGATTTTTTTTTTTGTTAATTACAAAGTTGATTGTTAGTGAGCTTTGTTTTGTTAAGAAAGCTCTTTATAGTGGAGAATTTAGGATTTTCCAATGTTATTTATATTTCTTTAAGAATTATCAGGAAACTTTCCCATTCCCAACTTAGGCGAAGGCGCCATATTCCGCAAAGCCACTTCGATGGAGTCACTAGCCTGTACCAACTGCTCATCTACATTCCTCTCTCTGTAAACATTCTCCTCATCATCAGAATCATTTATCATATCATGATCTCCCCCTTCCAGTAAAGCAAAAAATCTGTTTGAGGAATTCGTTTTAACAAGAACAATTACCGGCTGCACAACTTCAATTTGGACGATGTTCCCAAACTCTAAATGCAAGTTATGGGAAACTGATACATCTGGAACATCCACCAGAATTGTCTCCTTCTCCTTATCGGTCAAGCCAGAGGTTGATACCATCAATTGCATGTCAAGAGTTCCTGTCTTAGGGGCATGCGACACATGCGCGCGCTTCCAGGGTTTCCCCCGCAGGGGGTACGACTCAATGGCGTGCTCCCCTAGGGTTTTCTCCGCAGGGTTAATCGACAGTACGGAATTTGTTTCAGTAGCTTTAGCGATCAAGGGATTCTCATTCAGTATTTGCACATTCACTTTTGGAGTTGTAGACTTCTCTTCACCACCCTTGAATAACCACTTTGGTTTAGGGTTTGCAATTTTGAGTCCTTTTTTCTTTGTAGCAGGATCATCAAGTTTTTTCCCACCATCTTTCTTTTGCCGTGGAGTTTTTCCTTGTCAAAAATCTTCCTTATGACCAATCTTGCAGCACTTTAAACAATAAGATGGAACATGCTCAAAGGTGAACATTTGTTCATGTTTCCGGCCTTTTTTTTTCTAATTTTCACCGACTTCAGAAGCTCTTTGGTGAGATCAATCTTGACACAAAATCTTGCAACCGATGGCCTTTTCATATTCAAAGTAGGTGTATCCACGTTCAAAGGTTTGCCTAGTGCCGTTGCCATTGAGAAGATTAGTTCTGAATGCATGTATTCAATAGGCAAATCAAAAAGAGAGACCCACATTGGCACCACCGGGGGGTCTTCCTCAAAACAAAATCCGGGTTTCCATTTCAAAATTCTCATTGAGAATCCTCGAATATTCTAGAATGTCCTATCCAACATCTCTGGTAGTCATCTTCTTGATCAAACTAGATCAATACATGCCTAGGGTTCATGAGACCCAAGGTGTATCCCCCACTGAAACCGATTTTCTTGAATTCCTTATGGACCTCCTCCATTTTAGGACATCCATATAAGAATTTTCCAACCAAACACAATCTATGTGGAGCAACCAATTTTTCAAACTCGTCATCTTCATACTCCAAAGTGGGAGTACCATTCAAAAACTTCACTTGCTTGATAAGTGAATCATTGTTCATCTCAATGTCGGAAGGCTTCTTAAAAAAGCTAGCAAAATTCCGCGGCGGTGGCGGAGCCGCCGGTGGGTAAGCGCCGACCATATTGGCCGAGGAAGGCGGCCGTCAACAATAGGGTTTGTCTAGGGAGAACAAGGATATTTTCAGAACAAGATCAAAATGATCTCTCATTACCTAAATATTTTCTATAATATATATCTATATACATATTTGTTCATAAATTAAAAAAAGTATATTTAAACAATTATAAATGAGTGAGAAACCATTTTTGGATAACAGCAATGAGCAAGATAATAGCATGATTTATGGATTAGTGTACATTTACTGAAGCAGAGAAGCTCTAATGGTATTAAAATGGATGGTTGATTAACGCTATGATTGTGTGATAAACACTAATCAGAAGTTCTCGATTCAGTGGCATTTGAACAGTCTGAGTGAAGAAGTTGGGGCCATGAATGATCTTCTATATATGTTAACTTATACGCTACTACGGCTGATGACATGTTCAAGAAGGTATTACAATTAGTATTGAGTAAACGGTGCTGAAACTAGCAAATGTAGACAACACTAATCCCTTGGTGTTGTAATTTGTAGTCGGCGCGCTAGCTTTTAGTTATTGTTGTATTTTCATCTATCGTGATTGTATTGTATTGTATAGACTACAGTCATAAAGAGCAGTTTCGGCTAAAGATTTTTGCGGAAAAGTAATATCCCAAAAAAATGAGCTAATTCTTAATTGATTTCCAAAAATGATTATCTGATAGAGTCTTAGCATCAGACATCATGTCTACAATCAAGATAGTATTCCATTGGTAGGTTATAAAGGGAAACTGCAACAAAACTACAAAGACAGTCCTTAAGACTTATCTAAATAAAAAGAACTACCGTACAAAGTTTTTCTAATAACTCCATGATGGTTCTGATGCATATTACTCCATTAAAAAACTGTCATAAAATGATCATCTAGAATCTCATTACAGCTCTTTTTGATGAAAAGAAAATTTCTTAAGTAAGAGTCTGTCTCACAACGATTTGTCTAAAAATCTCATGACAGCTCTATACTCTATTCTATCTATCTAATTCTAACAAATTGAAAAGATATTTGATCGAGGACCTCTTAAAGATTGTTGAAGGCTAGACATGCTTTCATATATAGTTGATTGACCATTTGAAGCTTGCTTTGAAAATCCATCGGCCAGTGCATTCATTTCTCAAAAAAATGTGTTGAATTGTGAATCCAGTGTGATTCAGAATACCTCTTATTTGAGTCAATGGCAATTTGTATCTCCAAGGAGAATGTTTACCTTTGTTAAACATTTGAACCACAATTTGTTTCTATTTATTTAAATCTTGAAACTATGGTATCTTTGATCTTCTGCCCATTTTAAGCGTCAAAGTATTCTCTCTATTTCAGCGGCAATTCTAAGATTTTCTCCAATGTGGTTACATGTTGTTTGATGAACTTTCCATGTTCTCCTCGAGCCACAAATCCCCAAACAGCTGCTCCTGGAGCTCCGAAAGCTAAACCATATCTGTATTGATGACTATTTCTCCAGGTTCTGGCGGCATCCAACATAGCGATTTTATTTTTTTCCATTTTCTGCTCCTCAACCCTAACTTTGAAGATGACCTCAAGCTCTTTTACCTCAGTTGCATTCTTTTCTCTTAACTCATGAACACTTAGGATCATAGAAATGTTAGTAGAACAAACCAAAGAAAATAATGTACCTCCGAAGAAATACTTATTTCTAAATTTCCAAATCTCCCAAAGGATAAAGCTGGACTTATCATATTACAATTTTTTTTTGTTGAACCTTCAATAGTCCACTTATTGAATTAAAATGAACAATAAACTAGCCCATTAAAATCGAGTGGAAGAAGTATGAATTTTCAAATATATGTGAAAACTAAACTAATTTGTGATGAATGAATTATAGGAATATTGTAAATTTATGCCACATTATGAGTCTGTATATATTTTCCAGAGATTTTTGGGGAAAGATGCATGCATATATTGACATTTTTATGCAAAAAGTTTGCATAAATGTTTTGAACAAAGTTGCTGATCAGGAAATGAATGCTAGGGACTTTGTCAGCATGGCATACGATGGTCCCAAAAATATGATTAGAATATTTATAATCTTTCAATGTCTACTGGTCGTCTCTTTCAGAAATTTTTTTACTCATAATTGAGAGAAATTGTAACTAATTGGCCTAAGACAAAAGAAAAAATGTTGGATATACACATTCATCTAATTCATTCTAATATACAATAACACGATCTACAAATATATCTTGTCCCAAAAATGAACATTTTATGCATTCTATTGTTTCCTAATTTAATGGAGTGTAAAATCATATAGACATGTTGGGGGTCTATTCTAGTAAACTAATTGAGGAATCGACTTCTTAGAAAAAAAATTTAAACAAAAAACAATGAGTGAGAACCCAGTCACTTTCTAAAATTAGTTCTTTGAAGAAAATGATATATTCATAGGATATTAACCTTTTTTGTTACCTCTTAAAAAAAGGTATTTACCACTGAAAAATTACCCTTTTTAAGAAAACAATGTATAGTTACATATTACATTTTCAAGTGGCCATCTAATTAGAATATGTTCATAAGATATTTTTTATTAATATTAATAAATAAATGACTAGGTGGGTGGTAAGCTTTAATTGTTGTTGTCACAAGAGGGGAAAATTAAAATATCAAATGTGCAACAAAATCAAGAAAAAAGTATGCAACAAGACCTGGAAAGTTAATATATTGTTGTAATGTTATTAATATTTTGTTTTATATTTTTCTCAAAAAAAAAACTCCCCTCCATACGGTGGAAATTCATTTATAAACCTTAAGAAATGTTATTATTAAGTTTTACGTAAATTTGTTAAGATATCCGATTAATATCCAATTAATTTGTTAACATGTCATTTATAAAATACTTTTTATCATGTTTGATTGTGTGTTACGTTATTAATATATAAATACCTTCACAGAAAAGGCGAATTGTAATACCTTCACGGAAAAGGCGAAACAAATTGCTAGACCGATTGAAATGTCGAGGCCTGAGAACGAGAGGTTAACATCTTTATTTTACTTGTTTGACAAATGATGTGTTCATTGTGTAATGTGCAATCACTATGACTCTCACTTGTCTTACGTGTCGATATATCCGGTTGTACAAGTCCATCACGTCTAGTCTATAAAACCGTGCATACCATAATCTGGAATGTTGATTCTAAATTCTGACTCTGTAATGATTTTTGAAGGCTGTGGAGATTGGTGAATAAAAAATCTAGTTCTTTTCTGATCTATTTGTATGATGCGGTCGTATTGTTTACCTGTTGCCATTCTATTTCTGTTTTGGCCTCATGATTTGATATTTAGATTCTTTGAATTGATGTTTCTTCATGGTGGTGATTGATGTTTAGATTCTTTAAATTGATGTTGATTTACATTTTGATGAGGAAAAAAACGTTATTAATATATTAATTCAATTCAGATTTAAAATAAGTAATATTGCATAAAAGAACAGTGTGTATACGAAGGAACAAATTTATGTTCAAGAATCTAGGCAGTGAAAACATAATTAGTTGTACTTTGTTTCTACTTTATGCCTACTGGTACAAGCGTCGGCAAACCAACATAGTAGAATGGCTGCAAACAATTGTTGGAGTGAGTATTGATTTAACAGCGATTAAAGAAGATGGAGTTTCCAAGAATGTGAGAATGTCCAGCTTTTTTTACTATTGTTTTTTAATACAAGAATCTAAGGAATGTGGTGAACAATTTTCCTGTAAGGTTGAGGTGGTTGCGATTCGGAAAGACGAAAATGTTGCTGCTAACTTTGTTGTAGAGAGGTAAAGTCGAAAAATGACAAAATTAGTAAGCTCATGAAAAAATTTTGTGACGAGCGGAGAGAACAAGTGCGCATTATCTTTCCCTTCAAAACAAGACCTTCAAAAGAGACAACAAACCAGTAGATGCTCATCAGCTATACAAGTTAGTCTCTTGATTTCCTCCTCAACTAGGCAGATGAGATCAACATTGAAGCGATTGTGGTAGGCACCTCATTGAGCATGTGTTCTCATTCCCTCCCCGTAGAACCCTTCAATTTCCTTTTGGATGTCATCGGATTCACGCCACTGTCCTCTTCTGTTTCAGTTTTAGTTTTGTTGCACATTCTTCTTGCATTGTGGAGGCGTGAAAAAATTTCGTGTTTTTGTCCTGGTCACTCATCTCACTAATAATTGATTGAACTACTTATGATGTAAAGTGTAGATACCATCACTTTTGGAGGAGTAACTATGTTGATGATACAGTAGGGCCTTTTCAGTGTATCTGATCCTTAAGTTTTGATATGTAAAGTATAGATACCATCACTTTTGAATGAGTAACTGCCTTCAACTATCAAAACTAATGCTTCTTTATTAAATTATTCACCTTCTTGAATAAAAAAAAAAAGAAAAAAGAAAAAAGAATCTAATGACATAGATGATTGGCAATTGGAGTTTTTTTTTTTGTCCATATGATGTCCTTTTGTGGTACTTTCAAAAAAAAATTTAATAATCTTTAAGACACAATGGTAAAATTTCTATTTGGCTTTTTATTATTATATTTTTAAAACTTTTACCATGGAGTTGGATGATTTTGTAACAAGGCTATAAAATATTTTATTATTATATCTCTTAATTCTTATGACACAATAGTAAATTCTCATATTATAATAGGGATGGATTAGGAGTCCTTAAGCAAACTAAGTTTTTTCTCATATCCATAATTTTGTATTTTTCTTCCATTTAAAGATTCCTTAAGCAAAACTCCAAATATATATATATATATATATATATATATCCATCTAGATATTCTTTTTGTAAGAAGGCTATTGAAGATATCTCCCATGTCTTTTTTAAATGTAAAACGATATGCAAAATTTGGAATTATTTTGAAACTTTGCTTGACTTGTTGTTACCACCGGTAAAAGGTTTAAGAGCATATTTTCACGCAAGGTTTTCCCTGGGGAATTTTTCAACTGCTTTTAAAATTATCATCATGATTTTACCATCTTTTATTTTATCATAAATTGAAAAACGAAGTATAGTTTGTTTTATGAAAAAAAACATTTTAATTATAAACTAATAGTTGCTCAGATTAGTAATAATGTTACTGATATTTTAAATGCGCATAAGTTTCAAGTAAAAAAAAAAGTAGAACAATAAATTTTGCGAGAGTTTTTTTCACGAGATTATGGTATGTTGGTTGGATCCAAAAATGTGAAGTATTGCATGTACAAGAAGTTTGGGCTTGTTTGACCAACTTTCATTTTACATTTTTGTCTCATTTTACCTCTTAAAATATTTTTCAAATACAAATTCCAATACCATTTAAACAACTTTTTAATTTACCTTTTAAAAAATATTCCAAAAATTATTTTTACACAATTTTCATCCACCACCACCGAACCACCTCCACCACCACCCACCGCCACCAAACCGCCGGCCGTCGCCGCCGGACCACCGCCGGCTGGCCAGATTCCGACCAAATTCCGGCGAGTTGGCCGGAATTCGGTCGGCCGGTCGCCGGTGTCGGCGGTGGGCGGTCCGGCGGCGGTGGTAGTGGAGGTGGTTCGGTAGTGGTCTAAAAATATTATTAGTTTAAATATTACATAAATAATTTTTTAAATTTAATCTCAAACCACATTTTAAATCACATCTCAAACCTAAATCAAAAACCAAAATAAAAACTAAAACAAAATGTTGGCCAAACAAGCCCTTAAATCCAAATGGATAATATCAACATTGTGGAAATATTAAAAAATGGAGTCTCACATCTTTGGAATCACAAAATAGAACTTAAAAAGATAGATAAAATTATGCAACGTTTAAACTGTACAATCATGTATATGTATGAGAGTTTGACCCGATTGTGGATGCATTGGCAAGGATAGCGAGAATGAGTTTTAAAATTTTAGAACGGGCTCAGGATTGAAATAATTATGAACTGGTGTTTGCATTTTAATTCAGGATTGTTGTCAGACTTTTAGAAAATTGTCGTAAAACAATCTTTTCATCGTATAATATTTTTTAAAAATTAATAAAGGACAAAACGCACTTTTAGTTTCTAAACTAAAGTAGGTCACAACTTTTGAATATCATTAAGTTTTTGCTGCAAAATTAGTCACATGCGTCTCGTTTATTCATCATCATTGATCCACTTAACGAAAATTTCAAAAATTAACGGCCAAATTCAGTCAAACGTTAATTTTTTTATAAATTTTTTTAGGTTGTGGGCCCACTTACATTTGACTTAAAAAAAAAAGAGAAAAAAGAGGGAAAAAAAAGTTTCCACCTTTTTTCCCTCCGGCACCGCCGCCGCTCCCGCCACTACCACCGCCCGCCGCCACTACCACCAGCAAAAAAAATTGTTACCCACTCTGCTCTCCCCATTTTCCAAATGTGATATTAAAGCCCGCCACCACCCCAAGCTTGAACGCCCAAATTAAGCCCAAAAACAAACCCCGAAGCTCAACAAAATAAATGATTTAATCCTGCATAGCAGCCCCCTTCACCAACATCTTTGCCGACCATTATATCCGCCACCATCCATCTCCCACCAAAGAGCTAATTAGTTCAGTTTAATCATCAATTTTGCTGAATTGACAAGGTGCTGAATTGATTCGAAGAATAAAATCTCAAAACCAAAAAAACTTTCTTTTTCACCTCAGCAACCTTCACGTTCATCATCCCAATCCAAAATTGAATAGTAACGCACTTCTCTTCTCTCCAACAATCGGCCAACAAATCAATATTCTTATGCACCAAGGAGCAAAGTAACGCAACCCCCAATAAATTTACTAATTTGATTAGTGTAGGATGGAAATTCGAAAAAAAAAATGCATCTTCCACTCTTAGATCTGAATGACAACTGTTGATGTGGATATATTATTAGGAATTAATCGGGCTATGAAGAAGAATAAGAAGATGTCGGTGCTACGATGGAAGGTGGCAGTGGCCTCATCGGCGGCGGCGGCGGCGACAGCAAAGTCATGGGGGTATCGATTTAGAATGGATGGAGAGGACGGGAGTGAAGAGAGGAATTTGACCGTCAAATGTAAGTAGGCCCACAACCTAAAAGAAAATAATAAAAAATAAAAAATTAACGTTTGACCGAATTTGACCGTTAATTTCCGGATATGAATAAACAAGAAGCATGTGTTTTGTCAGCAAAAACTTAATAGTGACCAAAAGTTGTGATCTCCTTAATTTCGGGACTAAAAGTGCGTTTTGTCCATTAATAAAATTTGGTAATACCCGCCAGGTACCGTTATATATATATACTAGTGATGTCTGGTCGCGCAATGCGCGACCCTGGCCCAGTCTATCTGTAGATCTTAGAAATGTTTATATTTGAAAAAAATAAAATTTTATATTTGGAGCGATATATTTTAGAAATGTTTGAAGGATTTAGAAATGTTTTATAAGTGTGATTATAGAAATATTTGTATTTCGCAAAAAAAAAAAAATTGTATTTCGTCATGTATGTTTTAGAAATGTTTTATAAGGTGTTACTTATTAAATATAAATAGCTTAATCGAATATATGTGTTGAAGTAAATGTTAGATAAAATATAAAAACATCCTAATAAAGTTAAATATTAGTAAGATGATTTATTGATGTTCTCCATTGGTCGTGCCAAATCAATACTTAGTTTTGGAGATTTTTAATAGTTTTGTAATAAGTTTCATCCAAAGGGTATACGCTTAAAACAAAATTGACACTTTGTAACAAAAAACCTAATTGATCAATTCAATTTAAAAAACCACTCTAGTTGAATGAAAGATAAAGAAAAAATTTTAAAAAAAAAACGTGTCACGTAAAGTGCAAATGTAGATTTAGTAATTTAGTTATGGTTAGACAAAAGGGCAATTTAGTATTTTCTACATGCCACGTGGCAATCATATGAGGTGTTTGAAAGGGAGGTTTTTGTTTCTAATATAGTAGGATATATATATATATATATATAATTAAGAGTCATTTTTAAAACTTTGAAATATTTTTAATGATATGTATTTAATAACTATTTTCAATGGTTTTAATCCTTTCAAAATAAGATTTTGCTCACAGTTATATGAACCATAAATTACGTCTACTGGTTAGTATCCGATTGATTTTTATTTCACATGGAATGGAAAATATCAATTTTCATCCAAAAAAAAAAATAATGAAAGTATGTTACAGAATTTGAAGTAGTCGTATTTTCATAGAATAGATTGGAGTACAAAAAAAACATTTCAGTTGTCTCATGCAAGCAGAAAAAAGTATATCTTGTACTCTATTTTTCACATAGTAGTGTTTTTATCTTCTTGACTGCATTTTTTTGGTAGTTTGCCAGTTTCTTTAATCTTCTTTATTTGTGGTATCTTTGAAGGGATTATCTGGCAAAGCAACGATACTGAAATAATTACTTCAAGCATCAACATTTTTTCTTGAACCGGCACCATCGCATTGGCCAAGAGGCGTTACATACTCGGTGAGTAAGAAAAATATGCTTCTTATTGCAACTTTTTACTTGCTTTCAAGTAAGTGACCCAATTAAGAATGACAACAAGCGTAATGCAATCACGAAGACACGTTAAAGGCGTGAGACCCAAAAAAAAAAAAAAAAAAGTTGTGTCGGTGTGCGGAAGCATAGCCAGAATTATTGTCGCCGGTGGTTTGCAGTGATCCTGAGGCAATCGGAAGCGGATCAAAATTTCTATGAGCTGCAGCATTAATAAGCATTTAACTTCATTTATTTAATGAGATACAATAAACAACCTAAGAATTTGTACTCCTCTTCTGGTCAGAGGGAGTAGAATCCAGCAAACTAGCAATCCATGGAGATGAAATTTGAAGCACACTACTACATCAGAAAAACAGAGTAAAACAGAACGCAATTAAATTCGCTTGCAAGATTCAAACACTTAAAAAGTGAACAAATTTTCTGCTAAAATGCAAATGGTATACACACAGAGAGAGAGAAAGAGAGAGAGAGAGTTAATTAGACAAGAAAAAAAAAAAAGGAAGTATCCAAAAACAGAGAGGCTAATTAATCATCATCAATCTTCATAGAGGCGGCACTCGTCGGTTTCAGGGTTTTCCTGGCAGAAAGACTCAAGGGGATCCTGATGCATAACTTCCAGCTTGAGGCGGAGATCGGCTTTGGCCTGGCTGACTTCTTCCACCTCGTCCCACGCAACCCTGCATTCATCGCTGCTCAGATCATCCCCGCAAACTTGCTTCGCTTCCATCACTTTCTTCTCAATCATCTCCGTCAGTTGCTTCTCCCGCATCAGTGTCCCTTTGTACTTGCCAACACCACTCCCTGATGTTCCTCCGCCGCTGTCGCCGGCGGCTGATTTCGCCACAACCACCAACCCCGCCGGAGATCCCTCCCTCTTTGACCCTGCCACCGTCACAATCAGCTGCTGGTTTATTTGTCTTCCTGATGAAAAGAGGGGAGAAATAGTAGGAGGGTTGAAACAACTCAAATTCAGTGCCATATATGATGGTAATCGATGCCTGCAGGGCCCTAACTGGAACTTGTTGAGAAGGGTTTGTAATATGATGATGAACTGAAAATTTGATCGGACTAATAAGGGACGGTGATGGATCGATGATTATGGGTGAAGGATAGAAAGTTAGGAAGCTTTGATTATTGTGTTGAATTTGGAGACAGCGGTGGTGGTGGTGGACAGAGACACGGGGGGTTGGAATGGGTCGGGGAGAGTGATAATTGCAGACTTTTTGCAGAGTGATTTTGAGTTAGAGAGTCTCAATGGGGTTTACGCATAATTTGCCTTGCCTTTCTTGTAGACGGACTTATCTATACACTGTTAACTCTGTAGCGGTGTGTGTCGTTTTCTTTGGAGTTTATAATTAGTGATAGGAAATGAAACTACGAGTATAATCTAGAATCCGATATGAAAGTTTCGTAGTTAGATTATCCACAAAAAAACAAAGGTGTATTTATTTATGCTAGTATAATTTTGTGAATGATAATGATATATATATAGGAAATTTTTACAAACAAAAAAAAAAAAATTTAAGGGTTTGTTTGCCCAACACTTATTTTGCATTTTTGTCTCATTTTATCTCTTAAAACACCTCTCAAACACAAATCTCAATACTATCCAAACAACTTTTCAATTTACCTTTTAAAAAATATTTCAAAAATTATTTTTACACAACTTTTATCCACCACCACCGGACCACCTCCATCACCTCCTGCCACCATCGAACCGTCACCGGTCGGTGGCGGTTGGCGGTCCGGCGGCGGTACCGGTGGTAGAGGTGGTCCGGTGGTGGTCTAAAAATATTATTAGTTTATTTAAAATATCACCTAAACAATTTTTTAAATTTTATCTTAAACCACATTTTAAATCCCATCTCAAACTCAAATCAAAAACCAAAACAAAAACTAAAACAAAATGTTGGCCAAAGAAGCTCTAAACCTCTTTAAAACCTTTAATTATTTAGTCGATGAGAGTTATCGATGACATTGTATTTCTATCACAAAGATGTCCCGGACGGCGGATCATATAATAATAATTGTTAGTTACTTTTGAATTTTATCAAATACATACGTGCTTCACTTCAACTATCTCATTGTTGTTAATTAATTTTGTTATCTCCGTGATAAGTTTAATATGAAGTTCTGCAGTGTCCTTACTCACACGTGAAAATCATTACGCTTTCATTATCCACTTCCGTCTAAATCTTGTTGTAGCATAGATTCCAAACAAGTTGAGGCTAAAAGCAAGAAAATGTATTTTATTTTAATTTACGATTAACTGATTAATATTATCTAAACCTTAATATAAAAAGTTTTACATGAAAATTTTCAGCTTTTAAGTCGATCTACACCTAAGCATGGAACATACCAAACTGAAAAAGATCAATGAGAAAGGTTTGTATCTAAATCTTCAATATTGTTTATTGATTGTATTCATTAAGAATAATTCGAACAGATATGATAACATTATCAAACTTTTTTAGTAGTAGATACCGATTGATCGCATGATCACGAGAAGCAAGTCCATTTGCTTTGAGTTTCATCATAATCATCATCACAGTACTAACGAATGTCAAAGGGTTGTGACAATTTTGTTTTTGAACTCCTCTTAATTAGGTGAAGTGTATGGAGAAATTTTTTCTTTTAATTAAATATAAAGTAATGGGGTCAATTATAATTTATCAAACTACTAAAGGGAAAATGACAATTTCGACAAACTCATTGGAGTGAGAAAAGTATTTTGCGTAAGTCGTCTGGCTTTTTATAAGGAGCTCCAACGGCTACAAAGAAGAGCGTAACGTTCTTTCCAGATTCAAAATTTTCAAACTTCAAAGTTCAAACCCAGGAAAACCACCATCCCCTCAGTACCACCCCCACTAATCATGGATGCTACAGTGACGGCGACGGCGGCGGAGACGGCGGTTAATTGGTCGGAGAATACGGAGGACTACGAGCTTTTCTCGTCGGCGATTGACCCAGAGACGGCGTTTTTGGCTTCCAAGAAAGAAACGGGCAACGAATGGGAGCTGTTCAAGGAAAACGTCCGGCCACTGAAGCGAGGCCGCAAGGTGGCTGTTCTAAATAACGCCCTTAAATCCCACATCACCACCGCTTCCCATCGTTCTCTTCTTGAGAACCGGAGGTTAGCCCCCAATTTTCCCCCATTTTTAATCCCTTGGTTTCTTTTCGCTTTTTGAAGAAAAAATATAAAATCTTTGGAATATGAAATTATTTATACGGTAATACTACTCCAATTAATCTTTGTCATACTCTAAATAGTAATTTGGGATGTGTATTTAACAGGAGGTTAATTCAAGCAATTGATGAATACCAAGGGGACGATCCTCTACAGCCATGGCTCCAGTAAGTATTAATCTTTGAATCCTTTTTCCTTGGATGGTTTTAGAATTAACTTATGATGTTATCTCTATCTGGGTTTTGCAATATTAATCGTATTTTGCCATTAGATCTTTGTATTGTCTATGATGTATCAGGAGGTTTTAGAGGTTTCATGTTAAGTCAAACTTTAGGGCTTCCCTTCCCCTTTTTGTTTTGAGTAATTGAGTTGATAATTCACTGTTTACTGGTGGCTCAAGATCGATTAGACTTCGTATGGATTGCATGTTGAAAACGCATCTTCAAAATGTGTTGAAGGTTACACTTTATTGAAATGTCATTTAGTGTAACATATCATGCGTGAAGTTCAAAAGGTTAAATAAAATTGTGTTGCTGAATCCACGAAATCCAAGCCTTACAACTTATGTCTGTAGAAATATAAAACAAATGTGAGTGAAAATCCTAATGCTGCACTGTATCTCTTATGTTGGGTTGAAAATAGTACGGGTCACATGTTGCCACTTTGTTCTCAGTGGTTTCGAAGCACATTTCCCTGTGAGATTTGTCTATATCATGTTTTTCAGTTGAGTTTCAGCTACTTTTCACTGTTCACAGGTGTATTAAATGGGTTCAGGAGGCTTTCCCTCCTGGTGGAGATTCCTCTGGGTTAGTGGTCATCTACGAGCAATGTGTACGCAGTTTTTGGCATGAACCACGCTACAAGGATGACCTTCGCTATCTCAAAGTTTGGTTAGAATATGTGAGTCTGAGTGTTGTTAATGCTTTTCGTTGTAGGATTGTCTTTCAATTGGCCAGTGTTTCTGATTTGCTATCTGTTGTTCTGCCTTTGAAAATGTATTGGTAGGCTGAAAATTGTATGGATGCTGAAGTTGTCTATAGTTTTCTGGAGGCGAATAAAATTGGCCTGACTCACGCATCTTTCTACATAGCATATGCTCTTCATATGGAATCCAAGAATAAGATGAGAACTGCCAATGAAATCTTCAATCGGGGTATATCTATGTGAGTTTTCCTACTTAAAATTCTATGTTCTTCATGTTCTGCTTTTATTATGGAGGTCTCATGTACATGCACATGTCAATGAATAATTTGGAGAGATGAGTTCAGTTTAAATAAAAGATCTTACTTATTATGAAGTTAAATACTTTTTTATATTGCATTTGTGGTTCAGCAACATAGTCGAATTTCCTAGTTTGGGTGCAAGTCTGGTATTCTATGTTGTACTTCATGCTATCCCCTTTTACCCCTTGGTTTAGATCCAATATCCTTACACATAGTGAAAGGGTTTTTAAAATTTTAACGCTGTTTTAATCTCCTAATATTGTGATGTAGATTCTGGAAATTTGAATTGATGGCTGTCATTTTTCTTGACCTATTCTGTGCTTGCATTTGATTCTATCCAATCATCCCCTGCTTATTTCTTTGCATTTATTCTTCTTCAAGATTTCCAGTTGACTGAAAACTTATTCATAGGTGCTTGAAATGGTGAAGTAACATGATATGTTTTTTCCTTTCTTTCTAGGAATGCACAGCCAATTGAGAAATTGAATGCAGCCTATAGAAAGTTTTTCAATCGGTCAATGACAAGACCAAAAGTTGTGGAGGTTTGCAAGTTGCCACATCTATGTTGTTCTGTTATATTTAACCTTCCAATTCCGCTTACTACGAACTTTTTGTCAGGAGGAACCAACTGAGAATAGGGCTCCACTTAGAAGCTTTGGGACTTTATTGCCTAATGGAGAACCTCGAGGTCCTATTTTGTTTGTTTGTTTGTTTGCATTTTTTGTTTTTTTTTTTTTTTTTTTTTTTGTTTTTTGTTTTTTTTGGTTTTGTTTTGTTTTCATTTGAAGGCTTCTTAGTTTATCAGAGAAATGATCTTTTCTCCTTGTTTTAAACCAAAATGCAGATGGTTTTGGTCTGGCAAAGAAAAAGCTGAAGACAGATAGGTACGTTTGAGGTTTTCTTTTCCCGAATTTTAGCATTCATCTTTCCTCTATGATGCATCAAAAAATTTGTTGTTTTTGTTCTGGAAGTATGTCTTTGCAATCGCTGCCGTTCCTACATCATATCTAATCGATTTTGAAGATACAGTTGTCTTATTATCATTAAGAGATTGAGTCTTATAGATCATACCAGAGATCAAATTCACATTGTAATGGAATCTCTTTAAGAAATTTAAGCTGTGAAAGCTGCCTGGGATGGTACTTTGAAATAAGTCTGTTGTTTAGAAGCAATATTATGAAAAATTTAGTTATGCATATTTGTAAATATATATTACATAAAATTGGTGAAATGATCTCATTGTCCAATTTTGTACCGTAGGGCTGGTGGGGCATCATTGGCTATCTACAAAGATACTGAAACTGATGTAAGACTGGGCCATCAGTCACAAACGTCGAAATTAACCTCAAAATCATGGCAGAATCTTGGTGCTCGGGAAGAAAGAAATAAAGAGAACAGTGCTGTTCCTTCGAGGTGGACAGTGCACAAGGTTAGATGCCATAAATAGTACTTAACTTTTAGGGATGATACTCTCTACTTGTATTAGTATTTAATGCCAACACCATGTATTCCAGATCCCTCAGAAATTTGGGCACAGAAATGGTGGAACGGTTCCATCTCCATCTATAGAGATCTTCGTGGATGAAGAATGTAACGGGTAAGAACATGACTGCCTTTTGTCCAAATTTCAACGACTTAATGACACTTCTATCCATCATAGTTTAGCAACTGTCAAGTATAACTTCGGATCGTGCCTATTTTTCTGTCCAAGCTATCACACCATCTCTGTGAAAACATGTAGTGAAGTTGTAGTGAATGATTTGACATGGACAAAAAGGAACGGAAACTTGCAACATAAAAATTGAGCCCCCTCCGTCTTTTATCAGTGCCACATCATATAATATGTCATTTCTTTGGAATTCTATCATCCTTTTCCACTCAGTTTTCACCTTCAACAAGTGCCAATTTGTTCTCCTATTGTTTAGCTTGTCTTTCCAATTATTACCACTTCTCTTAATTCATGCTTGACTCACATTTTTTTGTAGAGCTCAAAAGTTAGATAAGGAGACAGTGAAATCTTCAGCAGGTTTGCGGCTTAGAGACAGTGATGACAAAGAACTAAAGAAGTAAGTAGTTAACATACAAGCGAAAAATAGTATTGAATTTGCTCTTTAAAGAGCACATAACAGTATTTTATCCACATTGATGATGATTGGCGCCTGGGATAATGTTTGTTTGAACATCTTGTGACAGGGAAACGGAGCTACTGAGAGAAAATCCGTTGCGCCATTTCCCGCCAAGCTCTTTGCCTAGATAGATCATCATCTCTGTTCACTTGTCTTGTTGTTGTGTTGTTGTAATATTCAGGGAGAAAATGCAAGGATCATTGTTTCATCCTCAAAACTTTGATCCTTCTCCTTCCCCAACCAAGAACAACTCCTTTTTTTTCTCTTTTCTTTTTTTTTTCCTTTTTTTTAATTGTTTCTGTGTGTCATTTTTTTTTTTTTGAAGAAATTGTATTGAAGATTGTGCATTCTTTCAACATTGATTGATATATGAAATCTCTTCAAGTCAGATTTGAAGGAAATTGGTTCATATTTGCTTTCAATTCTAAGGTATATTTTGTTGTTCTCTTCACTTTCCAGATAGCCAAAGAAAAAAAAAAAAAAAGAAGAAGAACGCGGCTTCAACACTACAATAAAACATGCAGTACTCTTCTGTAGTAAAGTTCTTAAAAAATTTAATTTAAAAGGCTTAAAAATAAAAGATAGACTAATCTCCTTCAGTCCAACAATCTTTAATAACATCAACACTCGACCTTCGAGTTAATGTCAACTGTTTTCTGAGTTTTAATGAATATAGTCACTGCATTAGTAAGTTTTTTTTTATTAATTTATAATTCTTGAAAGTTTTTTTTTTCTTCTTGTTTTTAAGTATAGAGATAATAGGTATTTGCTTAAAATTGTAATTACATGTGTAATTTTTTTAATGGGAATTATTTTGCTATACAATGACTCGAATAAAAATAACATCTCTGTAGATCACTGGATTGGATCCGTTTCATTCGATGTATGATTTTCTGAATTAATATTTATCTGGCAGTTCATTTTTTTTAATGTCTAATAATGTAATCAGATTGAAAAATGAAAAAGTTTCCGTGCAGCAATTTCACCAAAGTTAATTGTGGGAGTTTCTATCCAGTACTAGTGATGTCTAGTCGCGCAATGCGCGACCCTGGCCCAATATATCTGTAGATCTTAGAAATGTTTGTATCTAAAAAAAAAATATTTTGTATTTGGCAAGATATATTTTAGAAATGTTTGAAGAATTTAAAATTTTTTTATAAGTGTGATCATAGAAATGTTTGTATTTGGCATAAAAAAAATATATATATTTGGCCCGGTACGTTTTAGAAATGTTTGAAGATTTTAGAAATGTTTTATAAGTGTTACTTCTTAAATATAAATAAACTTGATCAAATATATGTTTTGAAATAAATGCTAGACAAAATATAAAAGCATCCTAATAAGTTTAAATATTAGTAAGATGATTTATTGATGTTCTCTATTGGTTGTGTCATATCAATACTTAGTTTTGGAGATTTATAATAGCTTTGTAGTAAGCTTCTTCCAAAGGATATACGCTTAATTGTTAGAACTATTTCTTCCAAAAGTTTATAGATAGTAAAATATCAAAAATATGATTTTGAAACTGATTAATTGTTGAAACTGGTTGATCAAAAATATGAGAATGAAAATAATGTAAATTTGCATAGGTTTCAAGGTATAACAAAAAAGAACTCACCTCACTATGGCAAATAAAAAAAAAAAGTAAAAGATAGTCCATTAAAAATTACGAAATTTATTTTTTCTATAGGTAAAAATGATGCATAAAACACAAATAAACGTAGAAACATCATTCCTTCACTCTCCACCTCAATTTCATAAAAGGTTTCCCCATAAATTAGTTAGAAGAAGCGGCATGAACTATTTATATGATGAGGAACTAAAAAAAGTCCAAAAACCAAATCCAAAAAAGTATATTATTAAAAGCCCGAACACAAAAAAAAAATAACACGCTTCGTTTACAAATAAAATAATAATAATAATAATAATAATAATAATTGGTTAACTGGGAGTATGAAACAAAATCAAAAGCAATTAAACAAAGAAAAAACATACTTCATAACTGACCATATACGAAAAAAATAATTGAGACTCCATAATTAAAAAAAGAAAACCACTCTAATTGAATGAAACATAAAAAAGAAATTTAAAAAACCACACTTTGTAACAAAAACCCAATTAATCAATTCAATCCAAACAGAACTAAAATCATACAAAAATTCTAAGCTAACTAACCATATGAGAAATCACATCATATTGCCTGACAACGGCTACGGTTAGGGCTGTTAATTCGGTCGGTTTGGCTTGATTCGGGTGAATTCGGTTCGGGTAATTCGGTTTTTTTATTTTCCTTCACCCGCCCGAAACCGAACCGATATTTCGCTTCCTCTGAACCGAACTGACCGATTAACAATCGGCCTAATCGGGTCGGGGGCCGTTTAAACCGAAAAAAAGGCCAAAAAATTAGGCCATTTTTCAACTGCTGAATGCTGATAAAAAAAATTATCAAAATAATGTACTAACAAGTAACAACAATCAACTTACACTCAGAACAATCAAGTGGCAAGACATATAATTCCCAATAACATAGAATCTGCATTCAAAATTGAATTATTTGAAAACTCTGAAACTAAAACTTTAGATCTGGTTTAGGAATCTCTCCGCCACCACCGCTCCTTCGCCGCCACTTCTGAACAAACCCCTCTCTGCCGTGTATTTCACCACCCCGAATTTCTTCCTCCTCCTCTTCCTTTCCTCTGCATAAATACCATCGGAGACGACGACATTACCAGAAATGCTCTTTTCCCAACCACTTTCCAAAGAGAGATGATTGCTCCATCTAATACCCATGTTTTCTGTCTGGAAATGAAAACCCAAACGGGGGATTTGACTTTTTTGGATAATCAATCAATTCAGAACGTGGATTAGAGTAATTCAGAAGAAATTTATTTGGTGTAACGGACGTCATCACCTAGAGGGTGAGATTCAGTAATTAATTAAGGATTTTCGAAGTTATATCTGGAATTGAAAAAGAAGGATATGATTTTCAGATTCGTTGAATTAATGAGGAAATCTGAAAAAAAGGAAGAGAGAAAGGAAGAAAGGAAGAAGGAGGAGAGGAGGACGGCGGGCGAAGAAAGGAAGAAGGAGGAGGGCGACGGCGTCGAAGAAAGGAAGGAGGAGGAGAGAAGAAATTCTAGATCTAGAAAAAAGGAGGAGAGGAGGGCGGCGGCATCAAAGGAAGTAGGAGAGAAAATGGGGAGAAAAAAAAAGAAGGGTATATATACCTAATAAAAAATAATTATAAAAATTGAATTAATCGGGTAATTCGGACAGCCCCGATTAATATTCCCCAAAACCGAAACCGAACCGTGTATTCTAATCGGTTTGTCGGGTATAGCCGAAATTCACCCGATTTAACCGATTACCCGACCCGTAATGGCCGAATTAATTTCGGATCGGGCGGGTTTTCGGGTCTGACCGATTAACTACGGTAGCTGTAATGGATGGACGTGTAAAAATAATAGTAATAACACTATTCTTGAACGGGAAAAACAAAAAATAATAAAAGCCAAACCAATAATCTGTGGGAATAAAATCATTTAAATTTTAATACCTGTAATGGCACCACCACAGCCGAAGCAAGATCAATGAGAATTTTTTTTTTCCTTTGTGTTTATATGGAGAGGCAAAGAGAGAACAATATTCGCGTGAGTACCGAGAAGTTTAGAGAAAAATGAGAAGACGAGAATCTCCTAGACAAAGAACTCGACAAGCATTTGGACAATATCATCAATCAAACACATGCTGCTTTAACCCTGGGCGCAAATGATGAGATGGGGTTGGAGGATACCGAAATCCTGGTTGATGAAGATCCATCTTTGCCCTCACAACCTCCGCCGGGTAAAAAAGCGAAACCGTGGTCGAGAGATAAGATTGGAGGAGGAAGAAAGAGGAAGGTCCCAATCCCCCCTCGGACATCGTAATAACAAACTGAGGGTCAACAAAATGAGGATCAAGCACATTCTTCTCGAGGCTCGTGCATCTAGGTCGAGACTCATTTTGAAGACGTTGGTGGACCCGAGACTCAGTTTGACCTTGGTGGACCCGAGACTCAGTTTGATGGACAGTGGCAACCACAACCAGGAATCAAATTTCTCACCATGGGGGAGTCTCAATCCCAACCCCAACCCGAGGCTCAGTTTGGTGGACAGTCACAACCACAACAGAGTTCAATACTCACGTATCTTAAGAGGGGAGACAGGATCCGGCAGGGCCCAAACAAATACACTCCGGATGCGCACAATAAAGAAAAAAGAAAAAAATGAGACATTTGATATATTTTGCACATCTAAAGTAGTTTTTGTATTGATTTTGGTATGAAACTTGATTTGTTTTGTTATTAATCGAATGCCGTTTATTGTTTTGTTGCCATTAAATTTCTGTTTTCCAATGTTTCGTTGTTGTTGGTGCTGTAAACAGGTTTAGGACTGGTGAAAACCAGTCCAATTTTTTTTTCAGTTCTGACAAAGACTCGGATTTGCGAAATCCGAACTCAGACTTTTTGTAAAGGATTCGGATTTCGGAAATCCGAGTCTGTAGCCAACTGAGAGTCACCATTTTTCAGAAAACATAGGAGATTCGAATTTCGGTAATCCGAATCTACGTATATTCGGATTACCGTGATCCGATTTTTCCCAAATTTAATTTTTCAACACATATTTTTTTCTCTATCTGAAAATTAATATTTTATTCGTAAATACGGATTTATAAAATCCGGATTTAGATTAATTACACTAAAAATCCGGATTTAGATTAATTACACTAATTTCTGTCATTAACTTAATATCGGATTTACGTAACACAAAGTCGAATTTTTATAATTCGAGTTTATTGGGATTCGGATTTCTGAAATCCGAGTTTCACCCCCATTCGGATTTCCTAAATTCGGGACATATAAATTTGTGCACAAAATTTTTGAAAGGTTTATTTTTGTCCAGGTATATATAAGGAAATATATTTAAGGAAAAAATTCTTTTTTCTCTCTCCTTTAAAAAACATCTCTAATCTTTAAACGACCATATCTCATGAGCCGTAAAAAATTAGAGAACGTGTTATACATGAATTTTGTTGTACTCGTCGAGATCTATCCAACAAGATCCATGTCAAATATTTTTTTCAAGTTTAAAAATGACTAAATTTCGATGAGCAGAATAAGATGGATATCTAGTTTAGAAAGATGGATAACCAGTTTAGTTTAGATTAAGATTCTTGTATGGCATATGTCTCTTGATCCGTAAAGAATTAGAATACGCATTATGCATAAAATTTATAGTGCTCGACGAAATCTATCGATAAGATCCATGTTAAATATTTTTTTTAAACTTTAAATGCATTTCAATTTTACGGGCAGAAATGAAGAAATGTGTTTTTCGTTTTTCTATGAAAAATGGTTATCCGTTATGTTCCTATTGATTATCCAACAGGTTTGGACTGATTATCCATTCTGTTTTTACTTGTTATCCAATCATATTTTTGACATTCACTCTTCAAAAAAAAAAAAAAAAAAAAGAAAAAATGATTGGATAAGCATAGCAAACAATTTGGATAATCAATAGAAAATAATTGGATAATCAGTGCTACACGTTGGATAATCAGTACAAAAAAGTTTGATAATCATTTTCATAAAAGAGAAAGGAAAAAATATTGGATAACCATTACAAAGAAGTTGGATAATCAATATGAACATATTGGATATCAAGTTTAAGAAGAGGATAACCAACTTATTTTACATTTATATTGTTGTGTTCCTTATATCTTTTGATCCGTAAAGAATGATAACACGAATTATATATGAAATTTATAGTGCTCGATGAGATTTATCCGATAAGATCAATGTTGAATATTTCTTTTGAACTTTAAATGCATTTAGAGATGATCTTTTGAATATTAGAGATGTTTTTTTAGAAGGGAGAAAAAAAGTGACAGGGACTAAATTTGTAAATAATAGAAAGATTATTAGAAAAAATAAAAAAAATACAATAAGGACTAGTAGTACAAAAAATAGGATGGGGAGTGTGGTGCCGCATGTGCATTCAATAAATTGCCAATTGTGGTATAATACAACGTGGATAAATAAAACAATTTGTAATATAAATATAATTGGTACATATTGTATCGCTTCTCAAAGAAGGAAAGGGCAGAAAAGGAATAAAACTTTTCTTTGAAAAAAATTAAAAACTTCACATACCACCGAAGGTAAATCTGATGTGGCGTAATCTAATTGGATCGATGATGCTACAACTTCCACGTAATACTCATCAGAAAAATCAGAGCAAAACGAAACTACCTCGTAGGTTTCTTTCCGATCTTTGACCTCTTGTCGCTTTGTTCTCGTATTTATACGTACAAAAAAAATTTGGGATGAATAAGATCTCTCCGGTTGTCCGTTTCTTTCCGATTGTTCTTGTTCTTCTCTGATCAATTTCTTTACTCTAGATTTCTTTTTTGTTTTTTTTTTTTTGTTTTTAGATTGAATTAACTATTATGGTAGATGGGATTGTAAATTATGGTGATAATTTAGCTATGGAGGTGGTGGGGGAGGAGCAGGATCAGATGATCTCGTGGGATGATATTATTAATTCCCCTCAGGATTTGATTCTGGATTTGGGTTTTCTCGAAGTGGATAGCCCTGAATCCACCACCACCACCACCTCCTCGTCATCACCGACGGCCGCGGAGGCGGCGGCGGTACCACCATCGGAGTTGGGTGCTTCTTTTTCAATCGATCAGATTGAGGATTTCCTGTTTAACGACGTCGACCATGATGATTATGGCACGGCCACCGCCGCCGACGACTTTTTGTCTGACTTACTCCTTGATTCGCCTCTTCCGTCGTCCACGACCACCACCGCCACCAATTCTGATCACGAAGATAACAATCGCTCTTCGTCCCCTGATATTGTTAGCCTCCAGCAGCACCATAGTCCTTCCCCTCCTCCTCCACTTTTTGACCATTCTCAGTCGCCACAGCTGGAAGTTCCCCTTAAGGACTCTCCTTCTCCACCGCAGGAAGGGTCTCAACAAGGTAGTCCTCGTCAGCCGGAGGGAGAGAACGAGGAGGACGAGCAAGATGCTGATGATCCAATCTCCAAGAAACGCAAAAGGTAACTTACTTTTACTTTTTAATCTTGGGGTTTTTAAAATCCATTGAGCGTGCATAAGAATCTCATCTTATAATACATGGCTTTCTATTGTGTAAAGTTCTGACGTTTAATTGATTTAACTTGAATCTTATAAATTTGGAAATGATGGTTTATCTCGTGTAGATTTATCATTTTTACTTGATTTCATATTGGCCCTTGTCATTCCATTTTATCTTAGTTGATTGTCCCTCTGCTGTTTGTTGATGTATACTTGAAATCTGGTGGTGTTCCACAGGCAAATAAGGAATAGGGATGCTGCTGTTCGTTCGCGAGAAAGGAAGAAGATGTATGTAAGGGATCTTGAGATGAAGAGTAGGTTTTATGAATCAGAATGCAGGAGGTTGGGCATGTTGCTTCAGTGCTATGTTGCTGAGAATCACGCTCTTCGCCTTTCGTTGCATAGTAGTAATAGTAGCCAGGCCTTTGGTGCTTCCACAACCAGGCAGGAGTCTGCTGTGCTCTTGTTGGGTGAGCAGTGCAGCCTTCTACTTTTTTGACATTTTGGGTTCTTCCTGGTTTTTATTTTTCTTGCAGTTATACTGCTCTATTTGCTGCACATTACTTTTCTTTATCTGCCCACTTCTTGAGAAACGACGTTGTTTGTTAATGTAGATATTTGCCGTACATTACTGTTCTTGAGAAACGACTTTATTTGTTAATGTAGATGCGAACAATTTGACATATGATCCATGGTTGCAGAAAGGCTGTGTGCCGCACACTACTTTTCTTTATCTGCTTAGTTCTTGAGAAACCATTTTATTTGTTTATGTAGATGCGAACAATTTTTGACATATGACCATAGTGGCAGAAATGCTTTGTGATTGCATGGTTGTGTTCTGCTATGTATAAATTTTGAGGGAAAATGGCTTCAAAATGAATTTTTGGAGTTGATTGTACTGACCTTTGTTTGTGATTGTCTACCATGTTGGAATTTTTTTGAGTTTTGTGTAATTGTTCTGTGTCCTAAACATATCCCAACCCAATTATACCTTGCTTCCTTTGTCTATTGAGTTTTAATTTGGATGCTCTTCTCCTTTGTGCGGATTTTTTTTTCTGTCGCTTAAGCAACTGATATTCGCTGGTTCACTTTGTTAATGGTGGCTTAGTTGTTTTGTTCATTTCATAATTGGGGAAATGGATGGAATTTTTTTTTCCCTTAAGCTATGTAACATTCGAGTATCCAGCTGGGGCAAACATGTTCACATTGAGCTCCATAAGGATGCTCTCTCTTGTAACATACTCTTAGTGGAGTTGCTCTGCGCCTACATTGGTTTCTTGCTCTATTCATCATGTAGCTTTTTATTGCTGATGTATATGTGGTGCTTTCCCTACAGTTTTAAACTTGAAAATGTACTAAAATGTTGGTTGTAATCTGCAGAATCCCTGCTGTTGGGTTCCCTGCTTTGGTTCCTGGGAGTCATCAGCCTGCTAATTGTCCCCCAACAGCTGCAGTCGGAAGCAGTGCAGATTGGAAATGCGGGCGACAAAAATCGGGAAAGAAACCTGCCTCCAAGAAAGGCAGGAAGTGATGTATGGTTCCACCCATCATTTATGATGAGTAAGAGGTGCCGAGGTTCGCGAAGGAAAATGAGGTGTTCTTTTGCAGCTGCAGCTTCAGCGACTTTGCTTCGTGACTCGAAGGAGATGTTGTTGATCTTCTGAAAAGTTGTCGGTAACTAGTTTCGACTGTAGTGACAGTGGTGAGGAATAGTTGGTGTTTTAGGCTAGCTATTGACTCATCCCGGGTAGATATGTATCTGTCATTGTTGAAGGCTGAGGGGTGTTAATTTGGTGGATGTGGGGGTGTAATTCTCTTTCTTGTGTTTTTGACAGTAGAAGAAACTCCTTTTTAAGTAGTTGCATGTTGGTTTAAGTGTTTTTTTTTTCTTTTTATTCATTCATATGGAGGTTGTCGCTTAACTGATAGTTAATGATGAACTTAATGTTTTATTAATTGAGCTAAGGTAATTTGGTTGTGTTTATTCATAGTTCGTCGCAAATCAAAATCTTGTTCGTTAAACAAAAGAAGTTTAGGAACGGATTGCCAACTTATTAATCTTTTTGGGTTGAACTCATGTGTAATATTGTGGCAAACATTTTCACTTGGAAGTGGAAGGTGAAAACTACTCTTTTTCTTTTTAATATGATTATTATATTGAAAATGATTTGCCGGCAAATTATATAGTGGACCGTGGTCCAATAAGCTTTGTGCATCTAAAATGTAAGTGTTACACACGCAGTGGAATTGTAGAACAAGCTTTGTGCACTTAAAATGTGAGTGTCAGACACGCAGTGGAATTGTAGGTGGTTGTGATTTTATATTTTTTATTTATTTTACATAATATTTATCTAATTTTTTTTTTGGTCAAAAGCGATAATTGTTTTATAAAATAAAATCAAATGTAATTAATCACAAGAGTTGAGAATATAATAACCTACAATTAAACTAAAACAGTCTACCTTTAACGCTATACCTAACTACAGAACAAAAGTTAAACTCAATTCTGTATATAGAGCTAGGCTAAACTAATTTGGTAAGACTGAACCAACATCACTGAATATTGGAAGGACATAGCACAAGAAGAAAATACAAAGAGAACCAACATTCTAATAAATGAACTTCAACTATGATCTAATAAGACTAAAACTGCAGATCTGGCTCTGAAACTCAGATCATTAATGCCTAGAAGTCTCAGATCTAAAGTCTTCCATTCATTTGCTACCCTTTAAACCATATGTTCATCATTGTCTTCTTCAATGAGCCATAGATCTCCTTCGTCATTTTCAGATCTGTTGAAAACTACCACACCACGCACAAAAGGAAAAAATAGCCCCAAAAGGGGAACCGAAAGTCTCAAAATGAGACATCCGGACTTCCATGAAGGAAGAGCAAAACCCACCAATAATGATGGAGCTAAAACTTATATAAAGAAAGAGCATACCAAATAGCAAAAAAAGAAAGAAAACTAAAATATATGAGATCCCCCATCCATCATTAATGGAGGATGGGGGACAAGGAGAGAACATTTGAGAGAGTTTTTTTTAGAGAGAGAAGAGAAAAAGTTAGAGAGATGAGGATACTAATCAATTATAAGATAATACAAAGGAGACCTCTGCAGGTAATAACATAACTGAAAAATAAGAAATTTACGCAAAAAAAAAATTACTACTAAAAAGGTAAGTGGCCCAAAATAGAAAGATTCTGTCCTTTTAACTCTCCATTTGATTTGTGACTCCACTAAAGCTTTGATGGTATATTGACACCAATTATACTCCATGATCTTTTCAACATCCTTCAAAGATTTCAGAACCTTGAACTTGCATTTAGTATTCTTGTGACCATACAAGAAACTTGATACCACAAATACAATGAAATCCCTTTTAAAATTAACACCAGCATCATTGTGCTTCACCAAGTTGTCTTCAATTACAGCATGGTTGGTACCCCTCCCCATCTTCCTTTCCATTCCTAAACAAGTTCATTCAGAATTATCACCACCTTCAGAAGTATCCAAAACTTTTCTCGGGCCGCGGGGAAGGTTTAGAACTGCTACAACATCTTCCTCGTCGATCTTCATTGCTTCTTTTTTCAAATACAAAGTTCTTGTCCTGTGATCATTATTTTCCACTAGATACTTACATAACTCACCTGGAATGTTTCTGATATTCAATTCCAACAATGATCCAAAACCAATATCCTTCACAGCTTGCCTTTGTTCAGTATTCAATTTATCTACTAAGTGGTTCAACAATTGTGGTGATACCCTGCTACAAAATATAGGAACGGGTGGTTTTTTCCTCTTCTTCGATTTTGCAACTACAACATTGTCTACATCATTTTTCTCAAAATTATCATCACCATCAACAGCTGCTTGTATTGATCTACCTCTCTTCTTTGAATCCTCATTTATTACTTTTTGTTTAGACATTGACCTAATAATATGGAAGGTAAAACATATAAACATTATTATTCCATTGTATGAACATTATACATTTAAACACTTACATAATTGTAATGAACTATACCTACAAACAATCAAAGAAAATATTGTGTGCAATATGGTTAAAAACTAAACTACTATCCGTACAAATTAAAAGTATGAACTTTTAAAATTAACATGAACATTATATATATCTCGTATAAACATATGTCCAAAAACAAAAAAAATAAAATAAATTAATACGTCCGAAATCATTAATACAAGATGGTTCTAAACGACTATCCGTATAAATTAAGTATATGAACTTTTTAAATTATGTATATGAACATTAAATATATCTCGTACAAACATATGCCAAAAAAAAAAAAACAATGAACTTTTGCAAAAAACAAAGGAAATAACATGTAGTGAGATTCGGTTAATGGAATCAAACCTTTTCTTCACATTACGAGGGGAAACCGATGCCATAGAGTCAACAATTATCACTGAAATAGAAACTATAAAATTGGTTAGATTTTAAAAATACTTTAATTGAGATTCATTGTTCCTAAACTTTTAGCGATAATCATAATTGTGAAAGGAAGATTTGAAAATATGTCTGAACAAAAGCATAGCAGTTAATTTAATGAATTGCAAAAAGAAAATAAAATAAATAAAGATTCAAAGAAACGTAAAAAAAACTCCATAGACACGAAAGAGATAATCATTAATACAAGATGGTTCTCAACCATAGAGTCAAACGTACATCCTCAAAAACTAAAAAATACCAAAAAAAAAAAAACAATCTTCCTCCAATTATGGCGATCAGCGGTGGCGACCCGCGGCAACAAGGGGTGATAGGATCGAACTCTTCAAATATATGCAAAGCCTATCTATTAACATAAAACATAATGAATATGCACATTGTATACAAATTGTATAAACACATCAACAAAACTAACAAAATTGAATAAATTGTCTAAAATTAAGTACACAACCATGATGATTACATCCAATTATGTCATTTTCATTGAATTTAAACACCGACACTAAAGCTGTTCACTTTCTCTAAACCATTTGTGTATGAAAATTATAGTGTTCCATGAATATAATGACTACTCATTTTGTGAACATTTAATTAGAATTGTATGAACATTAGCTATTTTACAAATCATATAAAAATTAAACATTTTGTGGATGAACATTTAATAATTATTCAAAACCCAAAATAAGATAATCCTCCAATTTCCAAAAAATTAACCTCATCATAGAATTCCTCAATGAAATGATTTATATCAATTCTAATCATAAACTTATATACATAAAAAATAGTTCACACAAAAAGAAAGAAGTATATAATACATCTTCAAATCATAATTGAAAGTCATCGCCAAATTTGATAAACCCAAAATCCATAATTGTGTATACAATATGGTTCTAAAGTTCTTATTTTAGGTGTTTTAAAAAGTTTAAAAAAACATGGTGCCTGCAATTTACCAAACCACAAACCAAAAGAAAATACTGACAATGTATAAAAAAAAAAAAACGACCCTGCTTCCTCGGTGATGACCTCCGGTGGTGAAGAGCGGCGATACGGGCGGCGTTCGATGGCTACTTGCAGCACAAGCAATAAAGGAGGCAACTAACAACGATGAGGCGAAATAAACGGAATACTAGCCGGAATCTCGACGACGGATATATTTTCGGCTACTGATTAAAATTATTATTGATAGGGGAAGAAAGAAGGTTTTTGAAATTAGATCGAGGATAATTAGGTGATTTGGGATTTGAATTGGTGAGAATCTGATCTCCATTTAAATTATGAATGAGGATTGTTGTGGAAATACTGATTGAAAATGAGTTTTATCGAAATTTCAATACTCTTTTTGGTTAATCGGATTAAGCTTTAGAAGAGATCTTTTTTTGGGTTCCAAATCTTACCCAATTAATAGGCGTTTGAATTCACTCTATGATGCATTTAGGGTTTAGGGTTTTAGGGTCATAATATAGTAATTGTGATTTGCCTTTTCTTTCTTACCAACTAAATATTGAATATTGTGGATTCACATTTTTTCGCGGTTTTCTTTTTCCTTTTCTAATTTCATTAACCTCTCTAAGAATAAGCTGTCACTAAAAACGGTGAAATGGGTGGGATAATAATTCCATATTGATCCGCACCAACCTATATGCTCCCTTTTCTAATAAGATTCCGGCCAAAAGAATATATGAACACCACAAATTGTGCAAGCACTCGACAAGCAAACTTGAGGAACTTGTATATTTATTTTATTTCTTGGTTGTTTGCTTCTTTAAAGCAAATGCACGAGAAGCACACGAGATGCCCTTTTAGGTTTTTAACTTTAAAAACTTGTACAGTGTTAACCATTGAGCTGAAAGAGACTAGAGAGAAACGAACATCTCGTTAATGAATTCTGTATGATATTGTTGAATGATTGCTCACAAGTTACAACATTTGGCATGGATGTACAAATTTGAATATTTGGAGAAATGAATAGGTCACAAAGTAGCAGAATACCTTACTTTGATTATATCATAAAATTAGATATACAAGACAGTATAATAATAAAATTAAATAATTTCTTCTGAATATAAATAGTTAGACATTTTTTAGATTGCTTGCCCTCTAAATAACATGTTTTCTTCAAATACATGTAACTAAAATACTAAATGATATGTTTTGAATGCTAGGACTGCTTTATTGAGAGATTCATAATCATTAGATACGGTTAGTACTTTATTATCTCCGTATTTAGGACGAGAAGTTAGTTAAAAATAAATACTTTGTACTCCCCCGATCCTTAATATAAGATATTTTGATTTGTCCTAAGTTTTAATAAGTACGTATTTTTAATTGACGAAAAAAACTTTAAAACTATATATTCACATTCGATATATTCTCTTAATTGTTATGAAATATTTTATAATTTTTTTTCAATTAAAATTATACACTAGGTGAAAGCTAAAACAAATCAAAATGTCTTATATCAAGACGGATTGAGTAAGTCAAATCGGGAAGCAGTAATACTATAACTGTATAACAGTAATACTACTTCATTGGGCCGGTTTTTGTTAATTTGGGTTTTGGTTAGTAAAAACTAGCAAGTAATTAGTAAAAAGGCCTCTCAGCCCAACACCACTATTTAGCTACTTGTAGGAGAAGAAGGATATTCTTATTTATACTCTTTATTTTTTTACAAGCCGAAAAAAAATCATCACAAATTATTCATTGTTTTTTACGGAAGAAACCCAAAAAAACGGCGGAGTTTACACTGATTTGAGTCGCACGCCTTCACCTACTACCCCCCCACTGCTACTCTGCTTCAACTCCCCATCTGAGTTCTGTTTGGTTTCGTCGGAGAAACAGAGAAGAAGAAAAAACACGATGGATGCCGATTACGGAATTCCCAGAGAGCTTTCTGATCTGCAAAAGCTCCGTTCTCAATACCAACCAGAGCTTCCTCCTTGCCTTCAGGTTTTTCCTCCTTTTTCTCTGGTTATGTTTTCAGTGCAACTGCAAACAACCTGTTTGATTGAATGCCTCTTCCATTTTTTTTTTAAAATATTTTTAGTTCATATGGATCCGTCTTGGAACTCCGACGGAATTAAAGAGTATTGTTTATTTGCAGTCGGGATCAACGTAGTTCGGATCTTGATTCGGACCCTTTCTCTTGTGTCGTTTCTTTAGATCGCGTGGTTTCATGAATACTTCGTGGATTATGCTCTTTGTCTGGCCATTGTCTGCGTGTGCGTATGTGTAAATTTGTTTGTTTCCTCCTTCGTATTGGGTTTTTGTTGTTATTTGCGGATCCTGAGACGAGGAGAATGTTAATTTGCCCGTACGTAGAGTTCCCTGGCATTGTACAATCAACCTTACAGGGGGTTATATTATATTCAATGTTTGCGAGATTCACCCTGGGAAAAGTGTAGACTGATGTCTGTATAAGTTAGTGCTAGATAACATTAGCCTTTGAGAACAGGTGCCTTTTACTATGAGTGTAGACCTGTTTTAGTCTCTAGTTTTGGTTTCACGTTGAAACTATGAAAATGCTATATAGGTGTGAAGAAACTTTGTTCCAATGTATTGTTTAGACTATAAAATCTTCTTTCTTTCTATGAATCAACGAGTTTATCTGTAGTTTTGAACATCTTATTGCAAATGTAAAAGTATTTGCAAAACAAAAAGTGAAAAAAAGGGTGCTGCTGTTGCATGTCCTAAATATTTTTGTTACATTGTGCTAAGCAATTGAAGCACAACTGTTGTGGAAAGTTCTTTTATCCTGTTGACTTGGTTTCGGACAGGGGACTACTGTTCGTGTTGAATTTGGCGATGCGACTACTGCTGCTGACCCAGCAGGTGCTCACACCATAAGTCGCTCCTTCCCTCATACATATGGTCAGCCTTTGGCTCACTTCCTTAGGGCTTCAGCCAAGGTTGCTGATGCTCAGATCATCACTGATCACCCTGCCATTAGGTATCCAATCTTTTGTTTTTATAATTTAATTTTCCTTGGCAATCACATTCCTCGTTAGGTACTCTGCTGAATTTTGTTGATTGTTCTTTTTTCTTTTCTTGCAGAGTTGGTATAGTTTTCTGTGGCAGACAATCTCCCGGAGGCCACAATGTTGTTTGGGGTCTTCATGAGGCTATTAAAATTCACAACCCCAAAAGTGTTTTACTTGGATTTTTGGGTTTGTGCTGTTCCCCGTCTTCGTGGCTTATGATATAGTAAATTTGGAGATCAATGTACTATATTTTACAGTGACTCATATTTTGTTAAATTTGTCCATTTCTGGTTATCAGGTGGTTCTGAAGGTTTATTTGCTCAAAAGACCATAGAAGTCACCGATGAAGTTCTTGCCACTTATAAAAACCAAGGTGACAATGACTGCCAGTTGCCTCCTGATTTGTTTGATGTTCTTGTACGCTCTATTTGCTTGTGATTTTAATATGTGAATACTCGAGACTAATATCTCTGGTCTATTGAATATGCCTTTTACCTCAGGTGGTTACGATTTACTTGGAAGGACAAAAGATCAAATCAGAACTACCGAGCAGGTCAATGCTGCATATGAAGCATGCAAAGCTTTGAAGTTGGATGGCCTCGTTGTCATTGGAGGTATTCATAGTTTTGTTGGGAATATTAATGAGCACCATATGTATATCTTAAAATTTCCTTTAATGTGGATCTTTCTATTTCTTCAAGGGGTAACTTCAAACACGGACGCTGCTCAGCTTGCCGAAACATTTGCTGAAAGAAAATGCCAGACAAAGGTAAATCGTTGAAACATAACATCATTTTCACAATGTGTTTTCTGTACAACCATTATTTTATTATGGAACATATGTATGGTGTATTGAGTTCCCCCAAACATTAAGAAAACTACATGAAATTAAGGCTGAAGTGACTGGTCCTTAAACAGGTACACATGTTGTAACAAGATTCAGAAATTTATGCTTTACTTGATATGTGCAGGTAGTGGGTGTCCCTGTTACACTCAATGGAGATTTAAAGAATGCATTTGTTGAGACAAATGTAGGTTTTGACACAATCTGCAAGGTACAGAATCTCTCTTCTATGGTGATGGCGAAAAAATCTGAAATATATCAGCATTCTTTTTTATCCCTCGAAATCTCTATAGGCCTACTTCCCTATTTTCTGCAACCTCTTCGGGATTGTTAAAGAAAATAACAGGGTCTTAAAGCTCAGAAAACTGATGGCAATATTTTTTTTTTCAATGATTGTGAAAAATCATATTTTTTGCTGTACCTTGCACGATTGCAGCCAATTATTGCATGAGTGTCTGTACTTAATGCACAACTAACTTACCTTCAAATTCGTTCATTAAGTTATGTTGAACTGAACACCAGTAGATGGAAACTGAGACCATTCTGTTTTTCCTTTTGCAGGTTAACTCCCAGCTCATTAGCAATGTCTGTACTGATGCTCTCTCTGCAGAGAAGGTTAGTATCTCTCTTTCTTTTTCTTTTTTTTTTCCTTGTGAGGAATTAAGTTAATTTTGCCTATTGATTACCTCTGGATGTTATTTCTCTAGTCATGCTTCTTTGCATGGAGAAGCTTAACTTCCTGTCCTGACATTCTCTTTCTTTTCAGTATTATTATTTCATCCGACTCATGGGCCGAAAGGCATCACACGTTGCCTTGGAATGCACCCTTCAGTCGCATCCAAACATGGTCTGTTCTGATCCTTGCAATGACATATTACTCTATAGTAATTAGAGACTTTGTAGATTACTGATTCTCAGTTCCTACTGTTTGGCTGTCTTTAAAATCTTATGGATGTTCATTTGACAGGTAGTTCTTGGTGAGGAAGTGGCTGCATCAAAACTTACACTTTTTGACATAACCAATAAAATTTGTGATGCAGTTCAAGCTAGAGCTGAACAAGGTCTGCAACATTTTATTTATACGCATCCTTGTCTAGATGTCTTGCCATTTGCTTCTAACAGCTTTGTTCCTTTCAGACAAGTACCATGGTGTGATTTTATTGCCAGAGGGGCTTATAGAAAGCATTCCTGAAGTATATGCTTTATTACAGGTAAGTTCTCTATGGTGAAACTCAGTGCTATGATCTAAGGTTTTTTAAGTCGTCTGAAATGAACTGTCACATATACTGTTCTGTTCCAGGCCACCATTATAGTTGGTTGATAATTTAATTGGAACTTGGTTTTTCCTCTTGCTTATGTCATAGGAAATCCATGGTTTGCTCAGACAAGGTGTTTCCGTTGATAGCATTTCCTCTCAGTTGTCACCTTGGGCATCTGCATTGTTTGAATTCTTACCACCTTTTATAAAGAAACAGGTATGCCTTCACGTGGTTCGGTTCCTTGAAAACATATGGTTTGGTTTATTAAATTATTGATATGGTAATCAATCTAAAGCTGGTTACAAAATTGTGATTGTGCAGCTTCTCCTCTATCCAGAATCTGATGATTCTGCACAGTTATCCCAGGTAATTGATCTGTCCATGGATGTTCTGTATGTCCCCCAGCAATTTGTTTTACCCAATCGTTGAAAATGCCTTGCCCTTCTTTTCAATTGCAGATTGAGACGGAGAAACTCCTTGCACATCTTGTTGAAGTTGAAATGAACAGGCGAACGGTAAACTTTAATCTCATTTCAGTTGCTTGACCTTTTTCTCTGCACGGTGTTGACATTTCAGTTGCTTGGCGGTGTTGTTTATGCTGAGTATTGTTTTTGGTATACCTTGAATGTAAGTTTAGAATGTTACTCTTATCAGTCACTTGGTTCGGAAAACGGTGTGTTGAAGTTACCTGGATGATGAGAAATATGCCAAAAAGCTATTAAATTAATAAAAAGGGCATGTTATCTAGTTTGACAATTGTGTGTGTGTGTGGCCTATTTGAAGTTACCTGGATGAATCACTGAAATCAATTGAATGAAGTCAAATACCGAATTTCACTTGTCAAGTCCCTGCCATCTTTGAACGTTGCCACTTATAGTGATTAGTGAAGTACATGAATGAAAAAGTTATTGGTCATTTTTGTCAATAACTTTTTCTCTTCAATGCATTAGTTTTTGCTTAAATTCTTCTGTCTTTACTTCTTTGGTTGATCAGAAAGAAGGAACTTACAAGGGAAAGAAATTCAATGCAATCTGCCACTTTTTTGGTTATCAAGCTCGTGGTTCTTTACCATCCAAGTTCGACTGTGATTATGCCTATGTAAGTGTGTGTTAGAATCAGTTGCTCCCGTTGCCGTTGTCATTGTAAATTCTCTTGTTAAAATTTTAAGTGCCATTCTTCAACTTATGCATGTCTTTGATAAGAGAACTTATCCATGCATACAGGTTCTTGGTCATATCAGCTATCATATTCTGGCTGCTGGTTTAAATGGCTACATGGCAACTGTGAATAACCTTAGAAACCCAGTCAACAAGTGGCGTTGTGGTGCTGCTCCAATAACAGTAAGTTTAGCGTACTAATCTGGTTCTGCTTTGTTTATATCCTGGAATGATCGAGGCAACAATTTAACGCAATATTTAATGGTGCTTTGCTTCTGCCTGCTCCAGGCTATGATGACCGTTAAGCGCTATGGTCGTGGTGCTGGAACACAATCCCTTGGAAAACCTGCCTTGCATCCTGCAACTGTGGATTTGAAGGGCAAAGCTTACGAGTGAGTATTTATAAATTATAGCCTTTTTTCCCATTTTATAGAGTTTTGAGCCCGTAAAACAGAACTTTTTAGTCACGTGGCATCTAAAATTACCCTTTTGTGGCGGAATAGGTTGCTGAGCCAAAATGCGACAAAGTTTTTATTGGACGATGTCTATAGAAACCCTGGACCACTTCAATTTGATGGACCTGGTGCAGATGCTAAACCTGTAAGCTTGTGTGTCGAGGATCAGGATTATATGGGTCGCATCAAGCAATTGCAAGAATATCTTGACAAGGTTATGGTCTTAAACTTCTCCTTCTCTACCAGAAAGATTAGTGGACATCAGCAAGTCTTTTAACTCAATTGTTTTACTTGTTTCATTCCCCAGGTGCGTACCATCGTGAAGCCTGGATGCTCTCAAGATGTTCTTAAAGCTGCCCTAAGTGCCATGTCGTCAGTGACTGACATTTTGTCCGTGATGTCCTCACCATCAAATGTTGGGAATACGCCCTTTTAACTATTTACCCACCTAGATTCTTGCAGAAATTTTGCATTGCCACCGGCCTTTTTGACTGCATAATAGCAGAAACTATAACCTTCATCTTTCATACTTTTCTTCAATCAGGTGCAGAAACTCTGTTTCTGGATTGCTAAGGTTTGCTGAATCTGAACTGCACTTTGGTTGGTTGTTGAGAGAATTTTCTTGTGGCCTTTTTCTGGTGAAATGAGATTTTGTTTCTACATATTCTTGTTACTAACTTCCACTTTTTTTATTTTTTATTGGTGGCAAAGAATATTTAGAAAAGCATACGGATTGCTTCTGGATGTTCAGCATAGGGATTTTCCCAAAGTGCGCTTTTATAGATTTGTTAAAAGGATCACTAACGACGATATGGGGTTAAAAACAATGATAACAAATCATATGATTGCCTGGTTCAAAATTCTCCATGGTACTCTAGTAAAGTCAGTTTTTAACCAGTTGCACATATCATATTTTTGGTGCCAATTGAACTTTGTAATTTCTTTTATTGAGTTCTTGGATTTTCAAAATGACAGTTAAAGTTTGTTCCCGACAAAAATGTTCTCTGCCTCATCTTCTTGAAACAATGTGTATGTAATTCACCTATCCTACAACATTAGGTAAGCAAGGCGAAATTCATCCCTACACAAATTCCTTGCCCTTTACCGACCCAAACCAATCGAATCCTTAGTTTTATAACTGATATCTTATGACGGTTTACCATTTCCACTCTTCTCACGGCCAGAACTTCCTCAAAAACTGCAGGAAATTCTAAATTTTCCCCTGTTTTTGTTGGTGATTAGTAACATCAACGTAGCATAGCAATCGAAAATGGGTGCAGTTGGAGCTGCCATTGCTGATGGGGTGTTGACATTCATGTGGGTTTTTTGTGCTTCATCACTGAAAGTTCTCACTTTCGTGATCGCGACAGCTTTTGGTGTTGCCGCTACTCAGAGGTTAACCATTCTCTTCATAACCACTTGTCTTGTTTTCACATTCTTGTTCATTTTTGGGATCATGGGGGCTGCTATGGGTGGAGCCACCTTCAACCCCACCGCCACCGCTGCCTTTCACGTCGTGGATATTGCTGGGCGAAACTCCAACTCTCTCTTCTTCGGCCTCCGTTTCCCTGCTCAGGCAGCCGGGGCAGTTGGTGGTGCTCTGGCTATCAGCCATTTTATGCCTTTCCAGTACAAACACATGCTCGGGGGACCTTCCCTGAAAGTTGGATTGCATATAGGGGCAATGGCGGAAGGTTTTTTGACATTTGTGCTCACTTTCATAGTTCTGTTTGTAGTTCTCAGGGGTCCTAACAGCCCAATTCTGAAGAACTGGTTGATCTCCCTGTCGACCGTCGCATTGGCGGTTTCAGGTTCCGGGTACACGGGGCCGTCAATGAACCCAGCCAGTGCTTTTGGATGGGCATATTTAAGCAATGTGCATAACACCTGGGACCATTTCTATGTCTACTGGATTTGTCCATTCATTGGAGCAATATTGGCTGCTCGGGTTTTCCTCTTCGTGTTTCCCCCACCAGGAGAAAAGCAAAAGAAAGCTTGAAAGTGGGAGCTTCTTCCTTCTGCTTCTGCTGATAATATGATTCTGACAGCTAGCTATATCTTTGCTGTTGCATTGGGTAGGAAGTTTTAAACTATTGTAACATAAGGTTAGAGATAAAAGGTTCACATCATCAATTTTAGCTTAGATTTAAAGCTTATAACATAGATGGTCAGAATGGAGAATCATAAACACCGCATCGGGTTCAGATCATCAATGTCAGTTAAGATTGCAGAGTGAGTTACATTCTAATTTAGTTAGGACAAATTGACTTCGAAGAGCGATACCAATTGAGCAATAAATTTAATATTGATTTTATGATCAATGAGAAGCACTAACTGTGTTAAGTGTCACAAATCTGTTGTCTATCGAACATTAGAGTTGAATCTATTGAACCCTGAACACTGGGTTAAAAAGTTGTCTGAAGCTCCACAGTTTATTGCTCTTGATCATCATTAACCCCCAAGCAAAAGGGCCTCGGCTTTTTTCTTTCCTCCTCTTTTTTTCGCTGTGATTTCGGCGGTAAAACCCACCCATTTTGTTGCCTGGAATTTCAGAAATTTGAAGCGCGAAATACCCAGAGTCGATAACTCTACTGTTCCCTATTCTGTCAGGCAGGCTGTCAAATTCTGAAGTGGTAAAATATAGCTGATGCTAGCTAGGTAACATAATTTGAGTTCAAGCCACCAGCCACAGGAAGAATGTAGACCAAAAGGTAAGAGCCACTGAAGCTAAGGCATAAGACCACAACATGATCACTGAACATTCACTTTCACCAGCACCAAACAGCTGAGTCATGGTTCCTACCAATTCAAAAAGATGAAGCAGATCAGGATCAATCTAGATTTGTTGGGAAGTACTATTCCATCCTTCCTGTCCCAATTCAAGCCATGCCTTGCATTTCCTTTTACTTGGCAGAATCTTATTATGGGACGGAAGGAGTTAGTAAACAGTGAGAAAATGCAGCCTAATTATCGACGATGTGGTTATTTTCTTTTTACCTATGTTCATTGCTGGAGGAAGTGCAAATTGTAGCAGAAGAACAAACTGATACAGTGGATTATTGTGCACCACTCCAAACTTTAGTGCCAGTTTGACTACGCCAATGCCTATTACTGGCAACCCAATGTATCTCACAGCTATAATGCCCAAAATGATAGACTTTGGTGTTTCTGAACCTTGCAAACCTGGAAGAGAAACAACAAAATATTAAGATAATGTTGTTTGAGAAAGTGGTTGGCAATGAATGAACCAAATTTGGATGTAAAAACACACATGCCTTTTAAGAGATTTCCTCCCATGATTAAGGTCAGAGATGGGATGGCTCCATCCCTGCAGGAAATTGTAAGAAAATAAAAAACCATGTTTTAAAACAACAGGAAAAGATCACTTATTACTTCCTTGCATAGCCTGTGTACTTTCTCTCCTAAGATTTTCCACTTGCTGTCATATATTTTTGTGCGTGTGAAGACAACAATGAACTAGCCTAATTTTAGAAGAGAGAGCCTTTTCATACCCTAGCAGCAGAGCAGTGTCTTGAATCACACGGAGAGGAGCTCTTTCGCCAATGATGGAATTTCGAAAGAAAGGTACAAGTCCGATTGCAAAACCAACCATCTGAAAGTTTATACAAAAACAAAAAAGTGATAAGTGTATCAGCCGTTATCTAACTTCCGTAAATATACTACTGTAGTGTTCTTGATTGTGTTTCCAATAAGGAAGCCCCCTGAAGATTTAGACTATTGGTATTCTGCGTGTTAATCAAGTATAGAGTGAAATTTTTTTCTTTATGCTCGAGTTTTTCACACACTGTAGAATCTCCAACATACTTGGGGAATTAAAGAGTTTCAGTAGCAGAATTATTGTTGACAATATTCTGTTCAACGTATCCATCAGAAAAAACTCTTCCACTACATTCTCATTTGTTAATGTCTGAATGAACAACATTGCAAACAACCCCCCTCCTCCAACACACACAGACACAGGAACATACAAAATAACAGAAATGGAAAGTAAACTTCAAAAGGATAGGAATCATACTGCTCCAGCAGTTGAAGGTGCAAGTAGCCTCTTCAGATTAAGCTTTTTCGCTAGTGCTTCTGCATGATGCATTATTTTGCTAAACAGTGAATCCTGCAACCAAAATTTGGTTAGTTAACCTCCCTCAGGTCTCTGCTCTTAGTTAAAAATGGGCGAAGAAAGGAATTATTTCTTCCATTACTTGAGGATTTTCATATAAAACAACCTGAGGTTTATGCTCGAATCTGGAGGAAGGCGATACAACAAGAGGTAATTGGTCCTTAGATACTTGCATAGCTTCATCAGAAGAATGCAGGAGTGGTTCTGTGTAGCTGGCATTCAGTGATGGAGTTTTATCCACAGAGGAGTCATTTATTTCCACTTCTTTTGAGCTCTTGCTTGAGGATATCCTCAAAATGTTATATACATATGACCACAAGAAGATGGCCCCTATCTGAAAAGAATCAACACTTACGAGATCAAAAAGCAGCTACCTATTATGCCATCATCAAGGATTATGATTAACAAAGAAAAACACATACCGCCATTGAAAGCGAAGCATACGCCATTCCAAATGAATGGCAAACATCAGGTGCTCCGAAAGGGCTTCCACTCTCTTTGCAGATTGCTGGAATTATAATAAGAAGCATGTTCCCTAAATTCCCTGGTTTTTGAAAACGGAAACAATGAAATCGTATTATGCATCCACCAGAGCCCGGCCCTGAAATCTTCAAACGAAATGTGTTTTATCGAAAAGAATGGTTTAGTTTTGGTTTTGGTAGGTAAGATAACCTGCCGCGCAGCATCCCAAGACAAGTCCGCGCAGGTGTTGAGGAGTTCTTGTAATTTGAATGAGCATCCATCCCAGTAGTGAACCAGCAATGAAAGTGATGAGGATATTGAAAGGCATGAACCACCTGCGAGAAATCAAATTTCATACCTTCATATGAAAGCAAAACAAATGAATGAATGTAATCTACAGTGAAACGAGGAATCAAACTCACAGCTGAACCATGCTTTGGTATGTTACTGTCTTTGCCAAGTTGCTGGAAACAAGTGCTGGATTGAATACAAAAAACACAATCTGCCCTCCAAAAAGATCAAACAAGAAAAACAACCCAGTAATCAGGAATCAATCAAATGACCTCCTCAGTACTCTCTCTTCACTTTCAAGAACAGAACTGTATAAATGAGAAGAAATTATTTGGAGTAATGGACTAAAAATTACATTGTTCAAATGCTTCCTGGAATCTGCACCAAGTATGCTGATTCGATCCAGGGCAAGAAAAGAGCCAAGTGCAGTGATCAAAAGCACTTTGAGCACTGGGATTGAAGCAGCAATGAAAAGATCCAACAGGGCCATTGAATCTGCAAGGGATCTTTTCCTTTTTCTTTTTTCTTTTCTCTGTTCTTCCGTATTCTCTTCTTCTTTATGGTCAGAAATTCATTGAAAAACTGAGAGTGAAACTTGGGAATAAGCAGAACTGACTCTCAACAGGAGAAAACTGAAAAAAGTAGAAAGATTACGCAAAGAAAGAGATTTGGTCTTGATTTTCTGAAGCATGCATTAAGAAAGAAACCACCCCAGAAGAAAAACGAAACGATGAGGAGGAAGAAACCAGAAGAGCTGATGCGTTTCGTTTGGACGTAAAGGTTGTGTTTTTATGATAACAACAAATTTATCCAATATAAAATTGAAGAAAATAAAAGAAAAAATAAAACCAAATACTAATATATGTTGAGAGATCCAATCCAACAAGCAATTCAGAGAGAGATCAGATGCATAAGGTTGGGTTGGTTAGAGTCTAATAGAGATATAGAAGGGCGGCCAAGAAACCGAGATCTGCCTTTTGTTCTCTCTGTTTTATTCCAAGACAAAAATATACTGTGTAATATAAAAACAAAAGAAAAAAAGTAGTAGTACTTTTAACTTAGGCAGAGTTTCTTGTGAGTTTCTTCATTCAAGTCAACAAAAACCAAATACTTATCATGAATTCAGCCGCTCATCAAATCGCAGCTTCCTCTGAGACCACAACCCATTTACTATTTCATGATTACATTCGTATCTGTAAGTTCAATGGGACAACATCTTAGTGAAAGCAATAACTCATATTCAGAAAGTTGATGTCTTTAATGATATTATGACCAATATCATACACAATACGGTACGCATGTATTATGTATTTAAATTCGTGACACCTACAAAGTATTCCGGTTCAATAATACTAATTATATAGAACCATATATAATATTTTGATGATTGACTGAATCTGGAAATATTTTTGTGAAATGCAATGCATGGGGAAATATATTCTTTGATGAGACAATGAAAACAAAGACCCCACAAGAGAGACATCATTTATTCCATTTGTTGTCTTTTTATTACCTATCATCTGTTACATTTCCCCGTCCATTCCTTTCAACAATTTTTTCTGCCAAAATAAAAATGCATTAATGCTCCAAATTCAGGGCTCCGTCGTCAATTAAAAACCAGAAAAGAAATGTCTATAATCTCGTCGATTAAATAATTCACCAGTTAGAGGAATTCAGTCAATGATCAAAAGGTTATCGTCCCTTTCTTATAAAATGGTTTTCGCAATCCATCAACTTGAATTACCGACTTTTTTTTAAAAAAATATATATATACCGATGAAGCCAAAATTTAGTTTACAAAAATAACCCCTTGAAAATGAGTTTAACCGGGCCAATTTTTTCTAATGTCTTAGATGGGGGCGATGCCAAAATATAAATTTCCGAAGTAATTAGTAAATCTAATTTTGCTAGGGAATCACCGATTCATTACCATATTGGGATGGGATGAGGAATTATAGTTTGAGTTTGTTTGTTCCATTACTTTTCTAAAAAAATGCGTTGAATTTTGGCCCGACTCCAGATTGATTGGACTGGATTAATAGTGTATAAAGAGGTTGCGTTGCAGAGTTTTATACCTGCAGGCTGAAACAAAATAAACAGACGTCATGGAGTTTTGGCTTCATGGTTGCTACTTTCTTGGTACTAAAATGGCTGCTACTTCCATTTCCATCATCTTTTATCATCTCTTGTCTCCATCTCGTTATCTTTGATATTCCTTCTCCCTCTGTCTCAAGATTATTATCCAATTTGAATTTTCAATTTTAATTCAATTTGTATTAGAAATGAAAATCTAAATTAAACACAGAATAAGTATTATTCTCTTCATCATCTTGCTTATTCTGCTAAGGCCAACCAAACCAAATGGTAATTGTATTTTTGGGCCTCTCTGGGGCCTTACTTTTGGCCCAGTATAGGTACTTGTCCAAATTCAGTAAAGATAGTAACTGTTGCAATATTGGCTTAACAATTGAAATTCCACTTCAAATGTTTAGTTTGCGAGTTAAAAAGAAGTATAATCACATAAAATCTCCAAAGAGATAGTAAATTGTGATCATGGTTGAGTGAAAAGAACTACCGCAATGAGATTACTCTATGTTTGGTATCTCATGCTTTAGTAATGCTCGATTACAGAGTTGAATATTTCTTTTGTTCCATTTAATAATTCGTTTTGTTATACTCACTAATCTATGTTAAAAAATAAAAATTAGTGTGAGATGTGACAGACATTTTTGAGTTTGATATGCGGAAAAAAAAAAAAAAAAAACTAGCGACGTAATAATCAAGAACCGAATTTCCCACTTCTGGCTAGTTAGTAGTTACATAGAGGGCAAAATGGATGCTTTGAACTGAAGCCATCAAATTAGATGATTTATCCTAATTGAAGTAATATCAAAATTAATTTATTTCCTTTAGATGAGCAATTCTTTCTTCTATATTACAACTAGTCTTTTACATGTTGTGCGTTGCACGACAAATGCTTTTTTAAAATCATTTAACTCTATTACGATAACTATTAATAATAATTTATCTTAACGCGTAATAGTTGTAGATACATGCTTTTATAGGACTTTGTTAAGTATACTTCTTTTGATGGGATTATTACGTTGCTTATCTTAATACATACAGTATCCCACAAAATGATTAAGAAATATATCAAAAAGCAAGGAAACAAAATAGAAGATCAAATTAGTACTTGTGTAATATATCATGTGCTTCCATGAAAGTGTTAGAAAAGGTAGGTTGATTTATTTTAATTTTGTGGTCTTTCAATTTTTATTTTATTTTTTTCGGTAATATGGTCTTTCAATTTCAATTCTGACGCATGGATAATTTTCTTGCAAAGTTAGAGGGTGTGAGTAACTTTAGATAAAATTAGCCAAAAAGTCAAAAACTAAGATTTGCTTTTGATAGCTTTTGTTCTATCACTGTTAGCAATCTACCTTAGAGACTGTAACTTCTTCAGTCAAAGAAAGTTGGTAATGTTGCATAAGTTACCTCAATGACAGGAAACAAATGACTATTTTTCAATAGCAATAATAAACTTTTAACTCAAACATCGTATCTAAAGTGAGGGCCAAAATTGTTGGACTTGTAGTATTTCACAAATAAAAACAGAACAAAAAACTAAGGGGACTATTAAGTTACTTATCACAACTCAATTCTCAGACACAGAAAGCTGTCAAATCTCATCCTAGCCAAGCTCTCAGTTATTCTATCAGGTTGTTTCAAGCTGGAGGCAAGAAGCTTCAAGTACTCAGCAGGGGATAGTACCAATATCACTTAGCCTCCCTTTTACTTGCCAAACTCTAGATTGTTATATCACGGCCAAGAATTTGTAACTTTCCCAAAGGCAACATTTTTATCATCTAACATAGTGCATTAGCGCACTGATGTTCTCGAACTGCTTCTGAATCTACTACTTCAGTTCACATCCACTTTAGTCTTGCCACAACTTAGTTTCACCAAACGGAAGTGGACAGAGAGCTAGAAGTTTTAGATTGTAAAGCAGGTAGCAGATCAAGGACTGTGATGATCCTTATTAGATTCCCAGTAGCTCAAATAACAAAAGGAAACGTAAAATACAAATTCTTGAGACAATCATACATCGGAATCTGCAGACAGAGGAAACCATAAACATTTAGTAATATTATAACTTAGAGATTGTAAGTTCTTCAGTAAAAACAAAAAAGATCACATGAAATAACAATAGAATACCGCAATGCAGTCTATTTCTAGATTCCGCTAAAGCAGCAACTTGGACATTGCTACTAGTTCACTTGGCGGAGAAAGTTGAACTTTTCTTTTAACAAAAGGGCAAGCAGATCATACCAATGATGCAAAACACAGGTACCCAAAACCTTAAGTACTCTATCATTCAAAAACTATATTGGACAATTGAGTGATCAAAGATTTACTTCATTGATAGGCATGTTAAAAGTTATACAGTGTGTGAGGAAGAAAAGTTCCAATAAATAACCGACATGGAAGCCTCATCTATGGTAATCTCAAAATAAAACTCATGTTAGCAGAAGAGCAATAACATCCAATGACTATATTAAATTTATTTATGCATAGAAAAATAATCTAACTGAACTGTCAAAAAACCATAAATGGATCACTATACAAGTCCTATGACTTGTTGAATAAACTATATGAGGAATTAATATTGAAACTCAGGCACAAGTTTTGACATGAGAAACTTATCCTGATTAGTTATCTATCAGCTAAAAGGTATCGGCTCTGAGTGTTATCATCAGTTGTGCTGAAAGATTCACCTGTATATACACCGGTCTAGAAAGGTAAAGCTAATCCCACAAAATCAGAACATAATAAAATCTATTTTCTAACACATGATTTTGCCTCTCCAAGAACCTTTGACTGAATCTCATGCCACAAGTCAAAACTTTTCGGCTTCCTCTTGTCTAACTATGATCTACCTCTAGAGAATAATATAACTCCTTAAAAATATTCTCCCAAGGACAAGCAGAAATTATTCTAGAAGCCAGAACATAAATTGTTTCTATTGACAACAATAAGTGAACAAACCCATGATAATCAAATTTCAGATATAGAGCCATTGTGATTAGAGTTTTTTCTAAAAAATATTCCAAACATCCTACACCATCAGGCCCTTTAATTGTAGGGAAAAGAAATTAGAAACATATACCTTACCCTTGTGCTAATATCCTGTGAGAGAAGGGGACTTTATGTAATTCGGCTGGAATTGAGTCTGCAACTCGAACCATTGCAATATCTGTTTCCAAGACAATCTATTAGTTTTTAAACCATTAAAATTATCAACAATCTCGCTCAATTAACAACAAATTCACAACTTCAAAACCGAGAAAAATAAGGGAATCGAAATTAGTACCTGTTTGTAGGATTTGGAAAAGAATCAGAGAAAAATCTTTACAAATATTCAAGCTTCCTCTACCGTATAGAGGTAAAAAAATAATAGAAATTAAAAGGTTAGAAAATATTTACCTAAAT